TACTTCGTCCAAAATTAGCATATGACTGAATTGAGTTTGATATATATAGGACAGCTTATGAATGACTTACCTGTTGTATGACAAGCCCCGTCAATGGTCAACTGTGCAGCAAATGATTGGGCTGTCTATTCACAGAGTTAATAGACTGATAATACAGTATTAATCACTTTCATTTCCTCACATGGAAACCTATCATCCCATTCTCATGAATGAAAAATATCCGGGTTTTTTTTAGGCTTATCTCGATTATCAATACGAACATCCCATGCCATACACATGGACTGTGCATAAACATTTATATATTTTTTAAAAACCCAACTTGCCACAGCAATGGCCTGACATCATTTATGTCGACCTCAGTAAGGGGTCGGTGTGAGAAGAGTTATCAGAATCACGTGGGGGTTAATTCGTGGAAAAAAATCCCAGCGTAAACAAGCCCGATCACTCGTGGCCAGTTTGCAGTGGCTTTTGAATTCCGACCGTCCCCACTGACGGTGTCATGTGTGTGTCCCCGTGACGTCAAGGCGAGGTGCCCTGGCCCGGCTGAAGCAGAAGTTTCCCCTCTGCACAGCAAACTCTAAATCAGTCCTGGGGCTGGTTGGCTGCGGTGGAGGCTATTTTGGACACTTGATATCCAAACGAAGGAAGGAACGTAATTCAATTACTGTCCTTTCTCAAACGCAGGTTTATCGCACGCTATGGAAAAGTTTCATTTGTGGGGCTGACATTTTTACACGCTTTTATTTAACTCACTCTTGTCTGTTGTATCCTCAAATCTTGTAACTCAATTTTAACCCACTTCCCAATGTGGTATCGACTGCAAACTTGGTATACTTATGTCATACTGATGACAATACTATATTCTATCATTAAAAAAATGTTAAACATTATTTTGTATATGTTATGTTTCGGCTTGGGTCTAATTGTCCACGCTCAACTGACGTTGGCTGTAATTGGCCACGGTCCCTTACGTTACGGCAAGCTTCGGGGCCACTTCCTGGAGTCGTGGAGTTCTTCCATTACTAGTACATTTCATAAAAGCGTGTTTTTAAAAAAAGTTTTTTTTAATGTTACTTATTATTTTGTAAAATGGACTTGAGATAATTTAAATCAAAATGAAAGTAGTTTCTCTGCTATTTTGAGGATTGGGTGGATTTATCTGCTGTTTACACCTTTGGGCCAGTGGTGTAAATTCCACATTACTGTGACGGGAGCAAGTATACCCATAGGACAACCACTTTTGACTGTCTCACAGCGCTGCTCATTTCGTCGATGGCGAAAATTACGACAGGGGTTGCGCCAAAAGTGACTGGCCATTGTGAGTCACGCGATGTTGCCCACCAGATGAGCATATGATATCCCGACAAATTCTGTTCCAGTACAGAACACTACATAGGTGCATTGCAAGGCTGTGGAAAATGTTCTAAGGATGTGGCTGCACCATCTGGCCGGATGTTTTTAGAGGAGTAAATTAATGGCAAATGTTTCCATATAGTACAGTTAAAGGTAAAGGTAAAATTAATTCAAAATTGTTAATTGTCAGCCAAGTTAAGGACTATGGAAGTTGGCTTCATCATCAAAGATCCCATGCAAGCCTTAGCCTATTTGTCCATGAACCTTGGAAATATGTTGATTAGCTTGCCACTGGAATCAAATATACTTTGGCTGGGTCACCCAATTATCTGCTTGAATTATACCCAGGTCGGGCAGAGTGGAGGCTGTTGACGAGTGTCACGGAGGTCGTGTCAGGCCGTGGCACTCTGAGTGAACTCGACCGGACACGTGACCGGATCAAGGTGAGGGCCAGAGGCCCCAGGAGGACCTTGGGGGTCACGTGGTAGAGGAGCAGAGCCTTCTCGAGGGTTCGAGAAGGTGGGCGTGGCCTTGGTGGGGCCGGCCACGCCGAGGCGCATATAAGAGGGCTCCGCACGCAGAGTGGGGCTGTTCCTGTCCGGGATGAAGACGCCTCATGAAGACTGAAGGCAGAAGCCTCAATTCGTCGTGGCCAAGCAGAAGCCCTCCTGGCTTGGCCACGTTAAGTATTACCCGAGTGTTCGAGTGTTAGCGAGATTAGGATGGTGGTCACCACCTTATATAGTGTGTGTGTTACAGTTGTGTAGTGTCTTGAATAACGGACGAATAAACTCCTTTTGAAGCACACACTGTTTATTGTCTTTTACTCCGACAGGGTCCCTAACACACAAAGGGGTATACGGTCCCCTTACCCGTTAACCTCCGGATCTGGCGGGACCTCCACACAGGTCTACTTGCTAACTTAGGGAGGTACAGCCTCCGGACTTGGCGGAACTTACACTTAAGTCTACCTGCTAACCTAGCGTCCTCCGGCTGGGACCTAGGGGAGGCTAGCTGACCCACCGCTGGCTCGGTGGGTCCCCGACCACTGGTCACGCTGAGCCTCAGCCCTCAGAAGGGCTGGAAGGCTGGGACCCAGGGTCCTGCCTATCCAGGACCTATTATCCCCTGACCACTGGTAACACTGAGCCTCAGCCCTTAGAAGGGCTGGAAGGCTTGGTCCAGGGTCTTATCTATCTTCAGCCCAGTCTTCGTGTGGGGGAGAACTCGGCTCGCGCTCCCAGCGCTCGTCCTTTTATACCGGTTTGTGGCTGGCTCTGTCCAATCCCACGCTCCCTCGTGGAACCCTCTAATTCAGACATGGGCAAAGTACGGCCCCTGGGCCGTATACGGCCCGTTGGGCTTTTTAATCCGGCCCGCCGAACTTGTCCAAATATAATTATTATTATTAAATAAAATTTTACCTTTCTCCTGTAATGCCCCCATTTCCCCATTAGATGGCACACTTTGACCGGGAGTTACGACATGTTTTTGTATTGTTCATGTTCGTGCAATTTGTTCAATTGCCTTGCAAATAAATGCTTTGCTACCTGTTAAAGGCCAAATCCTTTCATGTAATGATTTTTACACGTCATTTATATTAGTTCACACAAACACTCCATCCATCTGTTCCTGGCCCGGCCCCTCTGTCAAATTTTAGAACCCATTGTGGCCCGCGAGTCAAAAAATTTGCCCACCCCTGCTCTAATTGGTCCTTCCCAATCTGTCGTTTCGATCCTCTTTCACCTTGCCTGGCCGTTTGTCTGGCGGGAATCTGTGATTTCGATCCGCTCTCACCTCTCCCTGACCCCGGCCGTTTTTCCCAGAGAGGTAATGCTGCATCGCCCCTTTGATACATAGTGGCACTGCAGGTTACCGAATAGTGAGTAGCTATCATCTCTACAGTTGTATTGCAGTTGTGTTAAATAGTGTTGTCTCCATACGAGTGTGTGCGCCTCTGTCGAACCATTACACATATATATGGTGGTCAAATGCCTCAGCAACTCAAAGTACATCACATGAAACTAAACTATTAAACAATTTTAAATTTTACCAGGTAAGGCCCACTGAGCTATATAGCTAGTTTTCAGAAGCGACCTGGTCACAAATGATAGCTCAACGAAGTGGCTTTTCACGTGGACATTTATAGCAGACAAAGTCTCAAAAAACATGTTCCTCAATGTGGAGGGAAAACCAGGAGGACCCGGAGAAAAATCCATGCGACCACGGGGAGAACATGTAAACTCCAAATATACAGGCGTCAGGGTCGAGATGGAACCCATGGCATCCTGTATAGCAGGTGAGGAAGTTAACATCTCACCACCGTGGCACAAGATCACTCAGCACTGGCTTACAAGTGGGCATCGGTCTGCCAGTAGGGAGCAATGTTCGCTATGTGCAATGCCAGTTGAGTGAGTAATTTGACTTTGGTTTATTTTTGAACAAAAAAAATGCACACATCATCATGCGCCATTTTCTATCTCCTGCTGGACGAAGACCTTCATCCATTTCCACCATTGCCTTCGTAGAGGTGTTGGTGGAATAATGATGGTGCATTTATAGATCAAATTAATTAGCAAGGACAGTTACAATCCATCTGAACAAACTGTCAAATCTCTCTCCGTGGTGCTAACGTTAAAAATAACCGCTACTTTTTTCAAATTTTCTTGTTGTGGTTTTCACACCTGATGATGATTGCTTGTGTTGCAGTCGAAACGTCGTGATGATTTTATTGTTTTATTTTTTTATTTTATTGTTTCCCTTCTACGGGACTTTACCGAAAGAACCAATAATATTTAAAATCAGCTTATATTTCAACAATATTCTCAAGGCAATGCTGTAAGTTGTAGCTCAGTTGGTAGATAAACATGATTCCTAATAATGAGACCATACGTGCAAATAAATAAATAAACATTCAGAAATGTAGGCTTGGGTAGGACGTCTCTAGGATGGATTATGGGTACTGGTTAAGAATAAATGCATCAACAAGAATTAAAGGGTGTCTGAAAGTACGTCCGCCAAGGAGATGGAGCGATGAAATCAGCTCGTGTACAGGTGTTAGCTGGATTATTACAGAACAGAATCGATGGCGGTGGCTTGGGAAGGCCTTCATCGAGTGGCAGATTCACCAGAGCGAATGATAATGAGTTGCAATCCTGGCAGGGACCAACTCAGCCCGACCGTGTCATTATTATGCCTGCGGGGTCAGTAATATGAGTAAACTGGTGAGTACTATTTGGCACCAAGTCAACAGAGGTTGTCCTATTAATTACATACAGTCGTCCTTGCCAGAGACCTGATACTTGTTAAGAGGCACCAGTGATTGTCAGTGTGGGCACTTTTCACTTTTAAAAAAATGTCTATTCACAGTTAATATAAAAACAATTGCAAATTTCAGACCAATATTTAAAGTTAAATTTGCACGGATATTTTTTCTTAATGCATAAATTGCCTATGGTATTCTTGGAAATTGCGCTTTCCATAACATAAAGAGAGGAAGTCTGCATGCAATTTTTGTCCAGTGCTTCTTTAACCCCACCAACTAATGTCCTAGCTGTGGAACATTGTCTATTTTTGTTCTCGCAGCTTGTAATACGCCTGAAATGTACCATTAGCCTTTGCTTTAAAATAGACCGAGTGCAGGCCAGCCGGGTTATAAATACACGATACAGGGGTCACAGTGATGCTCACAGCTTTGGAACGAGTGTGGGATTAGCAGCACGGCTGAGGAACGTATATTAGACATCAGTGAGAGGAGCCCTATGCAGGAGGCTGTGGGTAAGAACTTCCAGTGAGATAGGTTGCTTGCGTTCCCTTGGCTCAACAACAAAACATTTTGGCAATGAAAAAAAAACAGTCCTTGCCTTATGCGAGTGTCTAAACCGTAACACTAGAAGGTGAGTTCTATCGTTGTGTACGGGTAAGCACCTCGTTGGTGATTTAAGAAAACTCAAACGGTCTCTGTGGTCAAAATCGACACGAGAAGGGTAACGTAAGACTGATTTGTTGCAGCAGGGAGGAGAGGAGGCATCTGAATAAAAGCATCCTTTTGAAGTTTTGGTGCCAAATTGAAAATCACAATGATGGAGAAAAAGGGCTTCCAAGCCGAGACAAATGTTATGGGTTTGATTTCTGATCGCTTAGAACGCAATACAAACGAAACGAGTGATGTGCCATTAACTGACACGTCTGGAGACATCTTTCTTCCGTCAAAAAACCATGGTCTCTCAGACGTAACAACGTGCAGAGTTGATGCTAAAGAATGTGAAAACACCCCGAAAGTGGTGAGGGAAGCCGTAAGGAAAAATGCGAGCACGGCTAGCACCCCCACACACGAGGCTACACCTGAAGAAGTAAACACGGGCGAGCCTCGCTTGTCGTCCATTGAGTCGGACGCGCAAGCGGACAAAGACTTCAAAAAATCCAAACACGACGCAACGGAGCGCAGCTTGCAGGGAACTTCGCCGAGCCCTTCGACGAACGCCAGCGCCGCTGCCGCCGCCGCCACCGCCGCCGCGGAAGACAAAACGACGAGAAGGAAAAGCGCCCGCGAGGCCAAGGAGCCGGGCGGCGCCCGGGTGCCTAACTACGGCGTCGTCGGCGACCTCACCGGCCTCTGGCAGAAGCGCTCGCGCGATCACGTCGACGAGCAGCGGCTGAACCCGTTCAGCGGGGACTTCGACTTCGCGCACGCCATGGCGGTGCGGGCGCGCAAGGGCGAGCGGGGCTACGGCAGCCCGCGGGACGGCACGGCCACGGCGGAGAGGGGCCGGCGGGCCCAGCGCCACGTGCTGCGCGAGGTGGACGAGATGGTGCTCATCATCGGCGAAGTGGGCGTTCGCGGGGAAGACGGGCGCCCGCGCGTCACCTTCGGGCGCCTCTTCGAGCGCTACGTGCGCGTCTCGGACAAGGTGGTGGGCATTCTGCTGCGTGCTCGCAAGCACGGCCACGTGCACTTCGAGGGCGAGATGCTGTGGCAGGGGCAGGACGACGGCGTCGTGATCACGCTCCTCGCGTGACCGAGGTCGGGGTCGGTCTGGAACTGGACAGCACCCGGCTGATTGGAGCGAGTCGTGGGGCGTCTGCGCGAAGACGCGAAACGAACACTGGGACGGGGCTGTGTGTCTTTTTTTGTTCACTCTGTGTGGGTTTGGAAACAGTGCTTTGTAAAATGATCAGGCTGACGTTCGTGTCACTTTTCACAGTAATCTTGATTTAGTTCATGGTTAATTAAACGAAGCTAAACTATTTGTTTTTTTCACCAGGTAAGGCTCAACTGAGCTACAGAGATCTTTTTCAGAAGCGACCTGGCCACACATTGATAGCTCAATGAAGTGGCTTGTCACGTGGAAATTTATAACAGCCAAATACTCTAAACGCATGTTGACTCGACATGTGGAGAAAAATCCACGCGACCACGGGGAGAACATGCAAACCCGAAATATACAGGCATCATCAGGTCGGGATCGATCCCACAAACTCCTGCATAACAGGCGAGGTAGTTAACATCTTGCCATCCTGGCGTCCAATTGACTGGAACTGCACAAAATGCCATTAACTGTCAACAGCTTTGAGTTTCATGACCCCAGGAAATTCCACGACTTTCTCCTTTACGTGGATAAGAAGGAATTGACAACGAATGGAACTCTCTTGGCATTGTTATTATTGTAAATGACATACAATAACTATATCAATGTTCAACACTACAATTTGTGTTCATGTAGTCTATACATGAAACTTCATTTCAAAATGCTGTATATAAATGTGGGCCGTGATTGAATGAATGAGTGAACGAGTCAATGGATGAGTGAACGAGTCAATGGATGAGTGAACGAGTCAATGAATGAATGAGCTATGGCCCCACCCAGGCCCCGATGGGACTATGAGTGTCGTCTTCAAGGGAGACGGAAAGGAATTCAGAGAGTTGTATTTATTTGTCTTTTACTAAATTATTTCACCTAGAAAATCCCTCGAGATCGAACATCTCATTGACAAGGGTGCTCAGGGTGTCAGATGACACACGCATTGTAAACAAATAAAGACGCGTAGGCAAGCCTTTTATAAATGTGTAAATTATGCAGAATGTATGTATACAATGTTGCATTCATTTGTAGTTGTACGTATGTACTTCGTAAAGTGACATACTGAAGAAAAGTTTAATCCCTATACAATTTGGAATGCCCCGTCACTGTAAGACATGCTTCATTGAGCCACACACATGTTGGCAATTAGCTCTGGAATGTGCCACTTTTTCTTGTGGCGGTGTTAGTGATTGCAATTCTTATTTTGCAGTCTCCACCACAGGCAGAACCAATAGCATCAATCTACTTGCTCGTTCTGTGCTGGGAAATTTTCATAATACGAACTACGTCTTTTAAATTCTTTACTCTGAAGTCTGTCAGAATTGCAGTGTATTCTAATGCTGTTTTACGGAGTTAAACTGAACTTCCAAGGCTACATGTCTCTTGTCATTGTAGTCTTTGTACAATAAAAATATGACTGTTATTTAATTTGACTTTTAAAATTGTTTTTGTGAGTGTTTTGAAAGTGCCCTTCATAACAACTTGGCCACCTCCCGTTGTGGTGGTTGGGTGGGTCAGGGATCAGATGGTATCACCACTGAGTTAATCTGTCCAAATCCAGGCAGCTACTTGTAATTAAACCAGTTTCTCAAGTATAGCGAATGTAAGGCCACCAATAATATATATCATTGCATTTGTTTTTTCACTTAATGTGGCAAATTCCAGCCTTGATAATTCCATTTTTGTAAGTGCCTCTATAGCTGGGCAGGTTGGAAAGTCCAGTGCTCATGGTGTGAATAGCAGGCGACTGAATGGGCCTCTGTAGTAGTTCTGTGATATCACCTTCCTGTAACATGCGGTGACAGCTCTGAATGGACATGTATGCATCTCGGGACAATATGCCGATGATCACAATATGGAATATAAATGGGATATAAAACAAAAAATAACTTTCCAAACAGAGTGTGATGTTAGGTTGTTGGTGAATGGCCAGCCAGAGCACTCCATTTTGGTGGAGCTCATGCAAAAATATGTTTTTGACAGAGCCCTCCACCAAACTTCAATGGCCCTCTACCTACAAATGAATCAGATTCACAACCGTAATGAGTGGGAATGCCCTTGCAGTCACCTAGGACTGAATATGGTCAACACAAGAAAACCCCTTGCCATTTACTCAGACTAATTTATTGCACATTCTATCAAAGTGATGTATACGCATTATATTATTTTGTTGATCAGTTAGTTCGTATTTCTGTTTTTCTGTGCCGAGAGCAAATTTTTGTATTTTTCTGCAATGGAGCACAGATGGAAACTTTGTTGACCGAATGCAGTCATGAATTCCGCACGCAGCCACACCTTGACTCTCTCTCTCTCTGCTCAGTTGCTATTTATGGCATCTGTAAACAAAGCTCAATGCTATTTGCAAGAGTGATAGACAACTGGAAGGGAAGGGGAATATTTCCACTTTACAATTATTATGAGACGAAGAGTTATGGAAACAACGCGACAGGCAAAGTGTTAAATTAACCTTCACTGGCACATCGGATGGCACACACGTTACGAACCATTTAGAGGAGAGATGCCTGGGATATTTTCCGCTGTGCTCCACATACGTTCATGTGCAATAAATTCTGCCGCCGCAATTCATTGTCCGTGAGCTATTTCGAATGCAACCTTCACTGTTTATGCACTGCAAGCTGTTTTCAACAGAAACCATTAATGTCAATTCGCCTATCCGCACAACTCTCTAGTTTCAAACAGCAGGAGTGCTCCTTTAGAACACGCCGTGACTATAGTTTACAGGTCGGTAATAGCTACGGAATTCCTATGGGCGAATTGCAAGCATGGAAAAAAAATGTGTTTCATGTGCACTTAAGCAACAGCACATACATGTTGTACAATGTTGTCTTATTGCAATGGATACATTTCACAGTGTTCGTGGAGGTGTTTTGCCTATACCAAATACAGCAGTGATTGTTTAATTGGTAAAACTCATTAAACAAGCACTGCTGTATTTGCTTATGATAACGAGTACATTTAAACTGGGAGAGTTTGCATGCTTTAACAAATACTGCGTGAAAAATAAAGCATTGAATGAGAATACTGTACCTATAGGCCCATCGTCTGATGAACATACATGTACAGTACAGTAAGTATATATTTTCGTGGTTAAATATAAGTGTAGATTTCTCTTACATGAGAATAGTTTTTCCCCTTTTTCCTGGCAACAACACGGGTGTTTAGATGTTAAAACACCAAACTGAAACCTTTTACAAGGAATCATGTCTGCATTAACCACAATACTTGTGGTCAGAATGCAAACAAAAAACATACTCACCAGAGACAGCTTTCTTTTGAGCCTCGTCTCAAAACGGTGTTTGACCAGAGGACGCCAAAAGGCGTACAGCACAAAGACAATGTCACTATCAGAGTAACGAGGGCTCGCGGTGAGTATCTACATCATGGGACCTCCTTTGCCAGTACCAACATATGAGAATAGGTTTTCCCCTTTTTTTTCTGGCAACAAAACAGGTGTTGATATGTTCATCTCAATGACTGTGAAAAGCTTGATTTCCCTCCAATATTAAAGTCACAAATGTCGCCCGAGGCAATCGAGCTTTGGCTTCTGACGTTCTCGTCAGTATTTCGACTCCGTTGTCAAGTTTGGGGAACTCAACAGCGTGACATTGACCAGCTCGCCCCACGAAAGGGAACCAATCAGTAAATATCACCAAGAGATGACTCACAGCTATGTTCAAGTACATGTAAATAAAACAACTTACACCGTCCATGCGTGGAATTTGGCATTACCTAAAAAATTTGAGATCGTACTATATGTTCATAAGCCTCCATTTACTCTGTTGCACAAAATAAATGTGAGTACTTTGTGTGAGGTCGTGGTGGTTTGTGGCGATTGATAAAACAAAGTCGTATGTAAAACTAAACTAAAACTACAAACGAAAGTATTTTAGCTACTGTATATAGCTCTTTTTCAGAAGCGACCTGGCCACAAATGAAAGCTCATTGAAGAGGCTTATCGAAGAGCCTCATCGCGTGGAAATGTATAGCAGCCAAATACTCTAAAAGCATGTTTCCAAATGTGGAGGGGGGAATCGGAGGACCAGGAGAAAAATCCACGCGATCACGTGGAGAATATGCAAACTCAAAATATACAGGCATCAGGGTCGGAATTGAACCCACGGCCTCCTGTATACCAGGCAAGGTAGTTAACATCTTGCCATCAGAATCAGAAAGGGTTTTATTCGCCATGAAAGTTCACACCGACACGGAATTTACTTTGGCAGGATGGTGCATACATTCAACATATAGGAATCTAAAATCTTAAATAAGTTTAAAACAAGTCTTACTATAATAAGGGTTAGAAGTTTAACTAATACCAAGGGGCTGAAGTATATAAAATTGAATACATATCTAATATAAAATAGCTGTAAGATATAATTTAAAAATAAAAAATACATAGTTAATATCGGCAAGGTGTCATTATGTAGATAAAATGTTAAAATCAGTGTAAGCCCTTGGCCTTGTTTAACAGGCCAACAGCAGATGGGAAGAAACTGTTTTTATGGCGTGAGGTTTTGGTCCTGATGGACCGAAGCCTTCTGCCGGAGGGGAGTAGCTGAAACAGAGAGTGTCCAGGGTGGGAGGAATCGGCCATAATCTTCCTCGCTCGCCTCATGGACCTTGTCGTGTGCAGGTCCTCGAGGGTTGGTAGATTGCAGGCAATTACCTTCTCAGCAGTGTGGATGATACGCTGCAGTCTGCTCTTGGCAGTGGCAGCAGCGTACCAGACGGTTATGGAGGAGGTGAGGATGGATTCAATGATTGCTGTATAGAAGTGCACCATCATTGTCTTTGGCAGGTTGAATTTCTTCAGCTGCCGTAGAAAGTGCATCCTCTGTTGAGCTCTCTTGGTGAGGGAGCTGATGTTCAGTTCCCACTTGAGGTCCCGGGAGAGAATAGTGCCCAGGAAGCGGAAGGACTCTACAATTTTGACTGGGGAGTCTAACAGGGTGATGGGGGTGAGTGGGGCTGTATTCTCCCTGAAGTCCACAACCATGTAATGCCACAGCGCACAGCGGACGCTGTGATATCACACTGCAGAGAGACTAATGTGGTGTCACGGAAGGCAGGGTTCAAGCTGGGAAATCACAGTCCACGAGGAACGCGGTGATGTAAAAAAAATAGCATGCTGCTATGTCAGCATACAACAAGAATGCAGTAATGTCACCAAGAATCGAGCAAGAGGTGACGTCATTGTGCACAGCGCACACTAGTGATCTCACAGTTCACAGAGCAAGTTGTGCTGTCACAAAAAAAACAATTGGAGCGTGCTGTTACGTCACAGCGCACAGAGAATGCTGCGATATCACAGAGATCACAGCAAGCAGTGATGTCAGGGAACAGCGCATGCAATGTCACGGTGCATAGAGAAATCTGTGATATCACCGTGGACAGGGAACGCTGGGGTGTCACAGCTTGCTCATTGCTGTGACAGGTCCATAGCTTAATCACCCCCCAAATCTCCAGTGATTCCACTCTGCCTTTCGCACCACCACCACCACCACACTGCATACAAGGGACATGCAAGACACTCTAACCAATATTAATTATTACACACGTGGTATGATGTGTATACTGTAATCTTAATCGTCAATGTTAACAGCGGTGGGACAGTCGTTACGCTCCCAGAAAACCGAGTTTTATTCGTATTAGTGGCAAGCAAAATCGTAAAATCTGAACCGGTCGAATGTGCACTGGTTCTGAACACCACCCCTTCTTCCCCTCTCCCCTTCTCACGGCTGATCTTGGCGTTTGTGGCTTTGGAGCCATAGAATGCGGGTAAACGTATATGCAGCAGCAATGTGGAACCCTTCCATATGTATCTTGAACTTATTTCGCACCATACTTAGCCAACCGTGCTAATCGGCGGAGCTGGAGCTGATGGAGCCAGACTTGAGCCAATGCGAAATATTTCCCTCGCTCTGATGCCAGCCTTGAGCTGCGGATGAGGATCTACCTGAGCCGCTCCCGAAGCTTGAGCCAGCAAAACCGGGGCAACTTTCAAACCGACGCTTGGTGAAGTTTGCAAAGCGACTTGCTTGCCACCTTCTGGAATACATTGGTTACTGCAAGATAATTCTGAAGTTTGCGTCCCCGGCCACGCGTATTTGGGGCCGCTTTGGATGTAAGGCAAAACTTCAGTGACTGTTCTCAGGTAGGTTAGCTGATTTTTTTTTCATTAGAAAAAGAACATGAATGTTAAAAAAATATAATTAATCATACAGAAATAATATTCCAAAGTGCTTCAACAGGAACGTTTCCATGAGTGTTTAGTTATGCTGCAAGGATCAGAAACACACGCAAGGCACCACCACTGGAGTGCATGGCTTGCCTATCCATCGTAATCCTATTTTGCACCATATATGGCATACTCACCGCACGTACCACTGGGGTATCATGTGGATAAAATAATGCGGTGCAGGTGGCGCGCTGAAACTCATTCCTGGGCTGCGTCTCACATTGAGCACCGCTCACTGAACTATGTAAACTCCAGGAAAGCCAGTCGACATTTTGAGAGGTCAAGAAGAGCCATGGGCCGAAACAACACTTATAGGAGTTTTTTTTTTCTTTTAAGGCAGTGTTAGTTTCAAATGTGTTGGGTTTTGTTGTTTTCCTATTTGTGCTTGTGCACCACTGCCTATGCAGTAGCAGCAAATACATCGTATGCATTGCAATGGTAAGGCGGGGCAAGTTGCCTGGGGAGCGGAGCACACAAGTCAAAAACAATTTATTGAGTGGTCTACACATAGGGGTGTATAATGATGACCGGTAAACCGGTAATCATTTTAACAATTAGCAATTACCGATTCCGAAAGTGAGGGTCCGGCCATCGATTCAAGTGGAATGTTCATAATGAATGCACCGATTGGCACGTGCGCGCGTTCAAAGCGCACGGCAGCCGAAGTCGCCGCGTGCTACGTTGGTCCGCGTGCCTCAGTTCAAAGGTAAAGGCGCAGCCCTGCAACGTCCCTGTCTTGTTGCTCATGCCGGCGCTGGCGGAAGAGCCTCCGTTACAATGAGCTTAGGGATACCTAGTCTCATCTTCCACATTGACCACGTGTGTTGCAGGAGGGGTGTGTGGTGCTGGTAACCCAGCGCCTCGTTGTGCCTTGCTCGCTAACAACATTTGCCCCAACAGCCTGTTAAGGCCATACAAGGAGGGGATGTTTGTAATCATACCTACACTTACACCATCCCCATTACACCATCACAATTATTCCCAATGTTTCAACTGCCTTGCCTTGGATATCGAATCCAACTTGTGGACCATTAAAAGTGTCTATCTGCCAATGAGCTAGTATACTACAACTCTCCTCGTTTGTCAGTTAAACAGGTAAAAATGTTAATTTACAGTATTGCTATAGGCATTTATATACGTGTAGTTAAACGGTTATTTACCAATTGTTTGTGGTTAGCGGTAATGCAAAAATTTTTTAACAACCTTATTGAGTATGATAAGCAATGTTTCCTTCAAATATCTGTCTCTACACAGCCCACTGGTCTCACGCCATTGATTCGCCTCCAGCAAAACCCGTGAACCAGTTTCGACATTCAGTATCTCATCAGCAGAGCATCGGCTTGCTCGAATCAATGCTGATGAACTGCAAGATTTAATCGGCAAGGAAGGACTCACTCTTAATTTAAGAGTTTAAGATATGGGTCCTATACCCAGGAACCATGGAACATTGTTGGGCTAAATCTGGCATGTGGCTGGAAGTATTGACCTGAACATGGCGCCAATGTTGTATGTTTGCTGGGTAGTTGAATGCAAAATCACACACACAAACGTCACAATTGTTTTACGAGCCTAGTCCCACATTGGAGAATTCTACTCTTGCATATGGCAATATGTCCTTGTCTTCAGCCATCACCGATCCGAGGGTTGGCCGCACCAATCCTTCGCCACTGACTATCGGTCTTCTGCTATCATCCTCATTGTACTATTCCAGCGTGAGCCTCGTCCATGCTTTGATGTTGTCCATCCATGCCATCCTTGGTCTTTGTCGCGCATGTGTACCGGGTATTGTGCCTTGCATAATCTGCTTTTCCAAACAATATGATCAGGATCTCAATGCCAATGTCGAATTCTTCAACCTACGAGAGGGCTTCAGGAGGGAGTTCGTGTAGTTTCGATATTGAAAGAGAGCAGATCACAGTGAGGCATTGCTTAACCAACACATACTTCACCTGGAATGGAACTTTCTACAAACAAACTGAGGGCACCCCAATGGGCTCCCCCCTATCTCCGGTTGTAGCCAACGTATTCATGGAAAATTTTGAAACTGACGACATCCAGACTGCCACTCTACGCCCGTCCTTATGTAAGAGGTACGTGGATGACACTTTTGTCATCTGGCCACATGGCCAGCCTGCTCTAGACCATTTCCGCGACCACATCAATTCCATACACCCAGCCATCAGATTTACCATGGAGGTCGAAAAAGATGGCAAACTACCCTTTTTGGATGGCTTGATTAAAAGGAGACCTGATGGTTCAATGAGCCACTCTGTCTACAGGAAAGCTACCCATACAGATGCTTACTTGAAACCGGATTCCCACCACCATCCATCCCAGAAGAACTCCCTCATCAAGACTCTATACCACAGAGCCCAATGCATTTCCGACCAGGAACACATTACCAGTGAACTCAAGCACGTACACCAGGCTCTCAGGGCTAAGTGAGAATTTGATTGTGTTATTTTATTTTATTATTTTATTCTTATTCTACGTGACTTTACCGAAAGAACCAAAGCGGACAGATCACAGTGGTTTACTATGTAGTCCGTAGTTTGGGTTGCATGGCCACAATCGCACTACTGCGGCTTGTCTTTAAATTCACATTTCTGAAACAGATATGCGCATCGGCCTGTCGATGTTCTGATACAGTGAATGGTTACACCAGACTCTTAGAGACTCTTAGAGTCTGGTGTAACCAAGAGATTGCGATGTTTGTGTCTCGAATGAGGTGGTCATTCCGGACGCACACATTGTTCCACTCTGTTCACCATCATTCTTCTGGATCTTGGTGGATGTACCATGCTAATCGGAGATGCGGATGAAGAACAGTGAACTAAACACCAAAATAAGTTATAAAGAAAATTCGTTTTCAATCTAGATTAAGAAGTGTATAGCTGCCAGTGCCTTCCTAATATCGGAAGGAAGAGCGTTCCAGACGGCCGAAGAAGCGCATCTGAAAGCGCGCGATGCAGTGGCCGTCTTCGCTCGATGTCTCGCCAAAAGCCGCTGCGAGGATGAGCGGAGTTCTCGTGATGACGGCTTATGTTGCTTGACGATTTCAGCAAGGTACTGCGGTTCATTTGTGGCAAGCTCTGTAGGTGTGATGAGTGCGACCTTATAATAATGTAACAGGCAAGGGCCCTGTCTTTTAAGATATGGGTCTCGATACGCAGTAAACATAGAACCGATTCATAATAAAGGTTTTTGGGTTAGATCACGTTAGTTATAAATGTGTCGTAACCCTCCACCACCCGACACGGCCAAACAGTAAAAAAACATGTGTCACGCTTACAAAAGACAAATGGTTGACTACTTTAGCCCACCGGTATGCTAAAGTAGTGAATCAACATCATTTACAACTTTAGAACCGATGTTGCCTTGTGCTTGTAAATCGTTTGGCCCCAAAACACTGTCCCATATTTTGCTGGCTAAGGTGGCTCGGCCACAAAATCACTCAAACCACATGAACAAACGACACACAACAACAACAAACAACAAGATTGAACCGCAGAGTGGGGGTCGCTTTAACTCGATAGCGAAACCCAGTGGCACGGCATTGAACTACAAGCGAGAGAGAGAGAGAGACGTGAAGAGGCAGGCACATTGCCGTGACGAGTGTGGCCGTGGGGGAGGGTGACACGCAGATCCTTGCCATTGGTAACTTCTGCAAGGCAGGAAACGGACGTGGTCACACGAGAGAGAGGGAGAGAGACAATTGTGTTCCTGTCGAGGGTTGATTTGACACACACACACGACCCACGTTCATTTCGCCAGCTATTGTAGTAGCAGCGGTGGTCAGATTAGATCCTTCGTTGTGGGGTTTTTGAGTCGATGGCTCTGAGTCGATGGCTCTGAGTCAGGGGCTAACGTGAGTTAAGTAGAAACAGCTGCAGCGATGGCTGAATGAGGCAGGCGAGATAATCGAGCGGCGGAGGGATTGCGGTTTTTAGTGTTTCTCCGTATTATCATCATCATCATTATTATTTTAGGTGGTTGTGGTTGTGAACGCAATGGCGACCGTGGGCCACGGCGACACGGGGAAGAGAGGAGACGCGAGGAGCGGCGTCGTGGGCTCGCGGGACGAGGGGGCCTCTGCCTCGTCGTCTCGGCGGGCAGCCAGGGGCCTCTGGCTGGCCTGTGCCCTGGGGGCCGCTGTGCTGGCGGCCGGGGTGAAGTTGTACGCCGACAGGGGTGTGATGGAGAGACAGGTGATACACACGTGATGGAGAGACAGGTGATACACACACGTGATGGAGAGACAGGTGATACACACGTGATGGAGAGACAGGTGATACACACGTGATGGAGAGACAGGTGATACACACGTGATGGAGAGACAGGTAATACACACGTGATGGAGAGACAGGTAATACACACGTGATGGAGAGACAGGTGATACACACGTGATAGAGAGACAGGCAATACACACGTGATGGAGAGACAGGTGATACACACGTGATGGAGAGACAGGTGATACACACGTGATGGAGAGACAGGTAATACACACGTGATGGAGAGACAGGTGATACACACGTGATAGAGAGACAGGCAATACACACGTGATGGAGAGACAGGTGATACACACGTGATGGAGAGACAGGTGATACACACGTGATGGAGAGACAGGTGATACACACGTGATGGAGAGACAGGTAATACACACGTGATGGAGAGACAGGTGATACACACGTGATGGAGAGACAGGTGATACACACGTGATGGTGAGACAGGTGATACACACGTGATGGTGAGACAGGTAATACACACGTGATGGAGAGACAGGTGATACACACGTGATGGTGAGACAGGTAATACACACGTGATGGAGAGACAGGTGATACACACGTGATAGAGAGACAGGTGATACACACGTGATGGAGAGACAGGTGATACACACGTGATGGAGAGACAGGTGATACACACGTGATGGAGAGACAGGTAATACACACGTGATGGAGAGACAGGTAATACACACGTGATGGAGAGACAGGTGATACACACGTGATGGAGAGACAGGTGATACACACGTGATGGAGAGACAGGTGATACACACGTGATGGAGAGACAGGTAATACACACGTGATGGAGAGACAGGTAATACACACGTGATGGAGAGACAGGTGATACACACGTGATGGAGAGACAGGTGATACACACGTGATGGTGAGACAGGTGATACACACGTGATGGAGAGACAGGTGATACACACGTGATGGAGAGACAGGTGATACACACGTGATGGAGAGACAGGTAATACACACGTGATGGAGAGACAGGTAATACACACGTGATGGTGAGACAGGTGATACACACGTGATGGAGAGACAGGTAATACACACGTGATGGTGAGACAGGTGATACACACGTGATGGAGAGACAGGTGATACACACGTGATGGAGAGACAGGTGATACACACGTGATGGAGAGACAGGTAATACACACGTGATGGAGAGACAGGTGATACACACGTGATGGAGAGACAGGTAATACACACGTGATGGAGAGACAGGTAATACACACGTGATGGAGAGACAGGTGATACACACGTGATGGAGAGACAGGTGATACACACGTGATGGAGAGACAGGTGATACACACGTGATGGAGAGACAGGTAATACACACGTGATGGAGAGACAGGTAATACACACGTGATGGAGAGACAGGTGATACACACGTGATGGAGAGACAGGTGATACACACGTGATGGTGAGACAGGTGATACACACGTGATGGAGAGACAGGTGATACACACGTGATGGAGAGACAGGTGATACACACGTGATGGAGAGACAGGTAATACACACGTGATGGAGAGACAGGTAATACACACGTGATGGTGAGACAGGTGATACACACGTGATGGAGAGACAGGTAATACACACGTGATGGTGAGACAGGTGATACACACGTGATGGAGAGACAGGTGATACACACGTGATGGAGAGACAGGTGATACACACGTGATGGAGAGACAGGTAATACACACGTGATGGAGAGACAGGTGATACACACGTGATGGAGAGACAGGTGATACACACGTGATGGAGAGACAGGTGATACACACGTGATGGAGAGACAGGTAATACACACGTGATGGTGAGACAGGTAATACACACGTGATGGTGTGTGTGTCTCTCGTGTGTCTCCGTGTCAATGTGTGTGTCTCATCCTGTGTCTCCGTGTTCACCTGTGTCTCCAGATGATCCTGTGTGTGTCTCTAGATGATCCTGTGTGTGTCTCCAGATGATCCTGTGTGTGTCTCCAGATGATCCTGTGTGTGTCTCCAGATGATCCTGTGTGTGTCTCCAGATGATCCTGTGTGTGTCTCCAGATGATCCTGTGTGTGTCTCCAGATGATCCTGTGTGTGTCTCCAGATGATCCAGTGTGTCTCCAGATGATCCTGTGTGTGTCTCCAGATGATCCTGTGTGTGTCTCCAGATGATCCAGTGTGTCTCCAGATGATCCTGTGTGTGTCTCCAGATGATCCTGTGTGTCTCCAGATGATCCTGTGTGTCTCCAGATGATCCTGTGTGTCTCCAGATGATCCTGTGTGTGTCTCCAGATGATCCTGTGTGTGTCTACACATGAGCCTGTGTGTGTGGAGCGGTCGTGTCGCGGTTAGCACACTGCACTTCCAACCCGGCCACCCAGTGACGATTGTCTGAATCAGCCCTGCACTTCCCCTAGGTCGACTCAGCCTGAAAAATTAGCACAGTATCTGGTGCGACGTGCAAACATCCTCACTCGGGAGACAAAAGCGCGGTGCTGGCCACCCACCCCCTCATGTGCCGTGCCGGCCTTCATAGAATGGTCTCGAACAGCACTTGCCCCTAACTGGATGTTAAGGCTATAGGGGGGGGGTCTTTATGTGTCCATGTGATTGTGTCTCAATGTGTACAACATATGATGGTGTTTATCCATGCGTGTGAGGTTGTACATCTCCATGTAAATATGATATCTTCATGTGCCTTTATATCTCAATGGAATTGTGTCTTAACGTGATATTTTGTTGGTCAGATTGGCTGTGACCATGTGATTTTGTGTCTGTGATTGTCTCCATGTGTACAATATCTACTTGAATGTGTGTGAGATTGTGTGTCTTCATGTGGGTATTATCGTGTGTCTTTCTGGGTCGGTACGGGTTGGTGAAGGGAGTGAAACGGATGGTATCACCACAGGACCGTGGTGGATGTGACTGCATGGAGAGGCATTCTTCCAGCAGTGGATATGTAATAACTGTTAACGTTTTCGAAATTATTTGTGTTTCGATGGGACGGTGAGATTGTGCCTCCATGTGATTGCGTGAGATTGTGTGTCTATATCCACGTGATTTTGTGTGGCCACGTTGGCACGGTGGTTGAGGGTCTGCCAGTTGTCTCAAGTCCGTTAACACCTGAGTCTGTCTGGTGACCTGCCAGGAAGATTTTGACATTCACGTTGCCTCGATGTGCACCAAGCTTGGCACAGGAGCTGTGGTGACGTCACCTCCAGTTGTCGAACATTTCTGTATTTTGTTGCAGAGGGTTAATTCACGATGTTGCGTTAACATAAAATGAGAGGTCTGTAAAGTTTCAGAACCTGTTGGCAGCATTTGGGTGTTTATTGTCAGCAGCATATTGCTTATGTTACATCAATAATAATATGTGTTTTTAAATCCAGTACATTTTTAGCGAATGTGAAGACTGAGTAGGGGTCCTGTATCTGTGAAAAATTCCCACTTCAGGAAGATGTTGTGTGTTGAAGAAAACCTTTGAGTACTCGGAGAAAAACCACTGCATATGAAGGGGCAATGCTCTAAAGTCTTTACAGATAGGTCAGGAATCCACTTGCTGCACTACCAATTCCTGGCCCTTTCACATCCAAGCCTGTGTGGAAGTTTCACAAAACGTAGTGATCCCCACCAATGCTTGCTTCGCAAGTGCTCAGTTACAGTCCGACACCACGAGGCCCTGGCGTTTGATGAGGCGATCATGCATTGTGTTTATTGCATGGCTATTTTCTATCTTAGCAAGTGGCTGCTTTTAGTTAAATGGATGCAGTAATGATGGAGTACAGTAGAGTATGTTGCTTGGCTGCGGCAGCCCTCACTGAGTCCAATCGGGTGAGAATCACATTACAATTTTCTGCCAATTCTATTCATGAGCTTTTGGTATGTGCAAGCACTGTATATCAGTGTGCCCATTCATTACTCATGCGTACAAGGACGTAGAGTTCACGCTCTGCAGAGATTAACTTAAATATCCATTGCCGTCTCCTGGCCATCGTGCAGCACTCGCTGCTACAACACCTGGTTTTCCCCGGCGTACTTGCATCCAAGCACCAAGCAAGTTTGAAAGCGTTCGCAATTCAGGGTGATTTGGTCAGAGGCAATGTCGACAAGCGTACATATACAGTACATGCACTTGCACACGTATGTACGCGTACGTGCACTGATGCACGATACATAATACAATTTATTGGGCAGACAAAAAAGTTCCGTGCATGGGCGGCACGTATGACCATGAAGCAAACCTCAGATGTAAATGTTGATCGGGCTTTTGTTCAATAACATGCACATGTATTATATTCAAGTGTTATTCCTGCACCTAGTAAAACTAACATGGTTGTTATTGGGTTGGGGGCGGGTTTACAAAAAATGTCTGTGCGTGCTGCCGGTGTTGCTGGCCGAGTGTGCTTACGTAGCATACGTGTGTGCTCGTGACCGAATGTGGCTGAATCGCTAATTGCCTGGCAGGAAATGGCCCTGCGAACACTGGGCAATGACGGGCTATTCCTTTTCACCTCCCTGGACACCAACATGGACATGCAAATCAGCCCCGAGGAGTTCCGGCCTATTGTCGACAAGATCATAGGTAAACACCAGACCTGCGCATATATCTCAGAATTCTGCGGTCTTTCTTTTTGCGGTGGAAGGGTACGAGGATTCATTGATTATTATCATACCTTAATCTGCTGAAACATCGATTCATAAGAAGGATAGATACACTTTTCGATATTTTATATGCTGTGCTATGGTCTCAGTGACTCGAGTTAGATTTTTGGTCCTGTTCAGTGTAAGTGGCGAGTAATATCTAAACCGGTTGTGGATGTCCCCTTAACAAACCCACACTGATCATTTTGGTGACGTTTTGGTAAAACGAACCCCATAGTAAGCTTTCATCCAGCAGTGGAATTTCAAACCACTGAAATTGTTTCATGTTGTATGTAATGGGTTCATGTCACCCCTGCAGCTTTTAAAGGCAATACAATTCACTGTAATGTTAAAGATATTTTTTTTTTATCAAACCGTGACCCTGAATCTCAGAATTCAATTTAATCGCTGGGGTTGGATGGGGGCAGCGGTAAAGGAATCGATCCAACCCCAGTGCCAATTATCATTTATTTTTACTTGAATAGTTGGTGTCTCGGTAATTGTTTTTGATAAACCCTTTGACTGCCTCTGGAATTCGCAAAATGCCCACGTGTCCTTGATTACCGCAGGGCCGCCCCCCTCGGAGTATGAAGGAACGCAAGAGGCCGACCCGCAGGGGGAGGGCCTCACCATGTTGGCTCGGTTTGAGCCGCTGCTGATGGAGACCATGAGCAAGAGCCGAGACGGATTCCTGGGGGTGAGCGCAAGCAAGGGCTGCCTACTCGGATTGAAATACAATTAATTATCAATGGTGGCTGTGTTTAAGCATTGGGAGAATAGCTGTAGGGTTGTCTACAACTGTGTCTTTAGCCCTCCTATTGTTCCCTGACCCTAACCAGTCAACCCAGCCACTAGTAATATTCCTTTCACATACCCCAACCAACTAGCTAATTGGCTACGAGTATGAACCTTCACATATCTTGTATGCTGGAGAGAGACACGGCACTGTGGTTTGTGCACTGCTCTAGGAACCCGATGACTTGAATTTGATTCCTGGTCACGGCTAGCATCAGTGGCGAGCGATATCTAAACCATGGGCTTCACCTGGTGAACACGGTAACTGAGCAGTGTGCAAACTACTGCCCCCCACCTCTCCCTCCACATACATCCTTTTTTATGTTTCGTTTGTTGTCCTTCCCCCACACCTCTGATTCCCATGGTTGGCTACGTACGGTGCGAAAGAAGTTCAACATACAGTGCGTACACCTCTGTCTTTAGCTGTTGTTTTTTTGTTGCTGTCAGGTTGGACAGAGCTGCCTTGCCGGTCTGCGCGGCTGGAAGAAGGCCGAGGCCCCGAGTCAGCACTTTGGCGCGAACCAGTTCAAGGTGTTTCTGCCCCCAAAGAGCGACCTAGAGCTGGGAGAAGCCTGGTGGCTCGTGCCCAACGATCTGAACCTCTTTACCGGGTATCTGCCCAACAGCCGCTACTACCCGCCACCGCCTGTTGCAAAAGAGGTGATGACCACGATAGTTGCACAACCTTGAGCTGCTTGGAACATTAGATGTCAATCTGATACGATACCTGAAGCCACAGTAATGTGCATCCGTATTGTTCTGGGGAATTAATCACATTTTTATAAAGATCACACAGCACAGTAGTTTTGGATTTGTTGGTTCTATCAGTTACGTTTTCATAGGCTCCTAGCTAAGTGTGGCCTGACATGACATCTGTTGACCCCTTTCTCGTCACACCTGGGGGTTTGTATTGTTTGTTGAAACCTTGCTGTGACATTTCACACGCACTTGCCTCTTGCGTGTGCGTGCGATCGCACATGCGCACCCAATTGTGTAGCTTTGGGGTGTGGCGATATGTTCGCTCAGCCGCAGCCAAATAGGCCCTGGGTTCTATTCCAGACAGTCCACAATGTGTGCCATTTTCTGCATGTGCCCCCTGGGAACTAACTGTCAGGTTTTTTTCTTTCCAGCCAAAAATAAGTGTAAAACACTTGATTCAAATATACTGGCTGATCTATTTATAGTTATCTCAGAAAAATATAAAAGTGGAAAATTATAGAGGAAACATTGTATTTAAAAGCCTCTTCATGCCTCCCACAAATCTCAACCCACTTATTAAATCATCAAACACTTTCGTCTGTAAGATGTGCAGCCGTCGCTTTCACAATATTCAATCACCTTTTGAAAAGAAAGTGATCGTCCTAATAAATCATTGGGGTAGTTATACAGAAATGGATCGGTGTATAAATGTGACCTCTGACTAAACAAATGCGACTCGGTGTAATGTTTCATCCCCTTCCGTTACCGGGTTTCCCATGTTCTGCATAATATCGCTCATTGCGATGGTATTATGCTGCTAACCGTCGGGTCCGTTTGTATCCGCTTGCAATGCTGGTGCAGATCATCATTTTCAAGCTCCTGAGTATGTTTCACCCACGGCCCTTCGTGAAGTCACGCTTCGCCCCCCAGGGTTCCGTTGCGTGCATTCGCGCACAGAGCGACATGTATTACGACATCGTGTTCAGGTACGGCTCAGGTTTTCACAACTGCTGGCGAGTACGTGTGAAGGTGATGGTCGTGAATGGGGCTTGTGAACCACGCGTGACGATCTCTACGCTGTGTCTTCGGCGTGACGGACGGATCATTTTTCGACTTCGCTTTCTGGCAGCAATTCAATAACATGCTGATGACACCTATTCAGAAATTCGAACGCTTTTCTGCAAAAATGTATTGTTGCCGAATCATCAACAATAGATTTGGCAAAACTTGTTTCGTTACATTAAGCTTTCTTTGAGGGCGAATATAATATGTGAATGGTTTGTTAGATTTTTAAGGATTGTGTTCGTTACAGGTATATCCTGTAGAACTCTTGTAATTTTGAAATGAATGGAAATAGTTTAATGAAAAGGTGATTGTTATTACCATAGCAGTAAGGTCTCTTCTGTGCATGACACGTTTTGGGCTTTCACATTCGAAATGCAAAAGGCCATTTAACAATGCTTTTCATTTGTATTCAATCATTCTCCATGAAGGCCATTGTGATGAAGTGAACAAATACGTGTCTGTACATTTCCACCTAAAGGGCAACTTTCCAAACAAATTTAAAAGCAAAGTGCATTTTCTTGATTTGAAAGGTCTCTTCTAAAGAACCATCCATTGAGTTAGCCATTCACAATGTATTACCTAAATGTTTCTAGAAACCAATGTTATGATTTAAAATATACCCACTAGTGTAACTTATTAAATGGAGATATTTAGATGGCAATTACACATTTGTATGTTTCTTTCGGTAAAGTCACGTAGGTATAAACTACGAGACTTTACCGAAAGAACCAAAGAGTATGGATTCCTCCAGTCACGAAAGCTTCAACTCAAGATGGAACGTTGAAATACTAACTTTTATCTCAGTAAGTGCTATTTATTTAAATCAACAGACGGAAATAAATTGGATACATCTTGCAAAAAACATATCTAACTTGTGAACGGGATAGACACTTTTACATGTATTTATTTATGTTTTGGAATAATAGATAAAATAAATAGTAATTGGGATGCAACACCAGTTGTGGCTACTGAAGCGAAACCCTATTCTGGTGGTTAATGGCCAGTGAGTCAAGTTATTTAAGCAAAATAAAATGCAATTTTCATTTAAACTGACCCCCCCTTTCTCTGCAATGGAAATAAGAGACCGCTGTTATTTTCATGTTCTATGCACAATCCTGTACTCGGCACTAAAAGTAATCCGCTATATTAATTTATAATATGGCAAGAAAATACGTATTGTAAGGTGTTTTTTTCATACTCGATGTTTTAAAGAATATTCTGGCAAAATATTTGCATTCATAGGAGCATAAAATGAAAAGTTAGAGCAATTTAAAATTAAACTTGTCAGTCTTGTATATTTGTTGCTCCCTCTTTCGGAGTCGCTATGATATATCATTGTCTTTTGAACTTCTGCTCGTAAAGAAAAATAAGGATGTGCCAGTTATCCAAGTAGTTTTGGTGGCACTGGCCTATTGTTGGAGTGGAGAGGAGGTTAGCCAGGAGCCAGCCAGAAAATTCAAGGCATAGAATAATTTGAATAGTAGAATGATACATAACTCCATTTTCACTTTTCTTACGAATGGAGGCCTTCCTACGCTGAGCCATTGGGGTTGTTTGACCATAATTCATTTTGTCAGGGCGGGTTGGTGAAAGGGGTGATCTGCCCAAGGACCAGTTGAGATATCACCGCCAACATTAGCCGTGGCCGGGAATAAAACTCAAAAGTCACCGGGATCATAATGAAGTGCGCGCTGTCCATTGTGCCATCCCTCCATGCCCAGGCGGCGGCTTTGAGAGGCCTTCGTCCAGCTGTAGATTGATCACAGTCATTGCGTCTGTGCACCACAGGGTTCACGCGGAGTTCCAGCTCAACGAGCCGCCCGCCTTCCCGTTCTGGTTCACCCCGGCGCAGTTCACTGGACATGTGACCATTGCACGGGACTCCTCCCACGTCCGCGCATTCCACATGTTTGTGCCAAACAATCGGTGAGAGGTCACACGTTCACAGTTCTCAAAGTCAACGGGGATGACGACAGAGCACTAGAGAGTTTTGTGCAGGACGTGGATCTTGGATCATCATAATATATAATTAATTTGTACAATTCTTCCAATGTAGTACATCACAAGGCACCAGAACAAATGGGCTTTTTTTTTTAATTGAACCAACGTCAACGATCACATCAGAGGGAGCATATAAACACGAGTAACACCATCATGACGAGGGGAAAGTGTGCCTTCTGTACTGTAGACTTCTCTCAGTAAGGAAATGATTGCAGACCAAAACATTTTTCAAAACTAGAATATATATTATGCACAAAAAATAAGGTTAACAGAATTGAAAAGCAGGCTTCACCTACTCTCTTATGAGCTTCAGCATCAGACTATTAAAAATACCCACAAAGCATAGTTACAGGAAATTTGGCTTATTAAGCCCACGTGAAAAGGTCGATATTTTAGCCAGTGCAAATTCATTTTTCATTGTTTTTTTAATGTTTAAATATCAGATTTTATATTTGTATACGATATTAAGGTCGACCATCTGAAATTCAGCGGTGATAAATTCAGTACGATTTGTTAAAGAGCCTTTAAAATAACATTTCTGCAGACTAGTATGCGGTACTGCCAGGAAACTGTAATCCACTTAATGAAAAAATCTGCAGTAATTTAAGTGCTTTGATCCATTGTATACCTGGGGTGCCGCGGCCACGAGATGTTCACTACCTCGCCTGGTATACAAAAGATTGTGGGTTCGACCCTGACGCATGTATATTTGGAGTTTACATATGTCTCCCCGTGGTCACGTGGATTTCTCTTCGGGTCCTCCAGTTTTCCCTCGACGTTTAGAAACATGTGTTTCGAATATTTGGCTGATGTAAATTTTCACGTGATAAGCCGCACCTCCGATTTGCACCGAGGACTACGTACAATGCAAAAGAAGTTCAACATACGTACTCAGTGGACCTTACCTGGTAAAATACAAATTGTTTAGTTGTTAGTGATGTAATACTGCCATCTTCTCCCCTGGTACAATTCACTGAATTGTCTACATTTTTATACGCTTTGGTTCTTTCGGTAAAGTCACGTAGGTGGAAATAAAATACAACAAATCACGATGTTTCGATTGCAACACAAACAATCCTCATCAAAAAATGCTGAAGTATGTCTCAATGTGGTGTTCAAATTAAATTCAAGAACATTTTATTCCACTATTGTGGTACATGTACAAACTCTCATGGCTGCAACATTTACATAAACCCCCGTGGTTTCTGTGAATATGTAAATCGCAACTAATATAATCGATTTTTACACAGAATATTTAATGCCTGTGTCGTAAGCTTAAAAATCAGTTACAATTGATAATTTGTTCGTGCTTAATTATCTTAATGAGATCAAAGCCGCTATGTTTTCAAGCACTTTAGCTGCTCAAAATCATTCTAGTTAAGACGAGTAGAATTTGAAGAATTTACTTGGGAGAGCTACACCCAAGCAAACGCGTGACAATTGGACAGGTGTTGGTAATGTACGTTAAAATACCTGTTCTTGTTTTAAACTTCACAGGTCCCTGAACGTGGACATGGAGTGGCTGTTTGGCTCCATGGATCAGGGCAACATGGAAGTGGATATTGGATTCATGCCAAAGGTGTGTTGCTGATCAAAAAAACCACAAGGGATGATTATGATTTGAGCGTTAAAATATAAATATAAATTCTTTCAGGTATAAATCTGTGTGAAATGGTATTTTTTTATGTTTGAGTTTTAATGTGATTCCGCTTTTGGTGACAGATTTGTGCCAGACAGGCGCCATGTGTGGAAGCAAAAATAAAATGTACTTTACTTGACCATTATGCAGTGACTGATAGAGACTACCAGGGTATACATGTAATAATGGTACATCTCTATTGTGCATTCACATTCTAGTTCAGATGCAGCTGGTATACGGGAGATTATTCGTTGGATTATGAGACCTGTTAGAGATTTTGAAATGATAATGCATGTATCCCAGGGAATGTCCAGGTGCTCGGTGGATTATTACATTGCAGGATCGGGAGAGGTGGCAGCAGCTTGAGGAGATGTTCATCCAGCAGTGGATTGACCAAGGCTGATGATTAATATAATAATTTACATTTCTTTATCAATCAGAATATATAGTACTTAATGAATACAAATTTAAGATAATGATAATGGACAGCAAATTACAGATGCCCTCTCTCTTGCATTTGCAGATGGAGCTGGTTGCTGAAGGTCCTTCAGTGCCAGCGCTGATTTACGATGAAAACGGCAACGCGATTAACACGAGTGACCCGGACGTGGAGCCCATCCAGTTTGTGTTTGAGAACATTGAGTGGCGGTCAGAGATCAGCTTCCAGGAAGCCTACAGACAAATGGAAGTCGCCATGTATCCATTCAAGAAGGTAAGCACTGGGTTGGATCATGGTATTGGTTCTGAACACACGCCACGTGGGCTAATTTAAACTATAAACGATAAAAAACTATAAACTATTTTTATTTTACCAGGTAAGGCCGACTGAGCTATATAGCTCTTTTTCAGAAGCGACCTGGCCACAGATGATAGCTCAACAAAGAGGCTCATCATGTGGAAATTTCGAGCAGCCAAAAACTCAAAACGCATGTTGGTTCTAAATGTGGAGGGAAAAACCAGAGAACCCAGATACATTTTTACGTGACCACGGGGAGAACATGCAAACTCCAAATATAAAGGCGTCGTGGTCGGGATCGAATCCACGGCCTCCTGTATACCAGGCTGCAAAAGCACAAATAGCAACAAACTTGACACATTCGTCAACAACACTGCTTGCAACACCGTACACAACAATGCAACATCACTCATGTCCTATGAAGCAGGGCCATTGCCAAAAACGTCGCCTATATATATTTTTTCATTTAAGGCAGGGTTGTTGACAAAGGTGAGTTTTCACAAATTTCCGTTTAATTTTAATACAAATTTTTATTAAAATCGTTAAACATTTTTTTCTTCCACATTCATTGTTAAAGTTATGCTATACACTCATAGCTGATGTTCATGCCAAGGTAAATCAATGTTGCTTTTAATGGCAGTGCTGACCTAATGTGATGTTGCATTACCATTTATACTACGTGGATTAATTCTTTATTTTACTTGAAGTGCTTATTCTGTACTGTATACTTGTGTTTATTCTGTCGGTTAGATTCAATATCATCCTTTCACGGAAGCCTTTGAAAAAGCAAAGGCAGAAGACAAGCTGGTCCACTCCATATTACTCTGGGGGGCGTTGGATGACCAATCATGCTGAGGTTGGTTTTAATACTGGCTTTTACTCATTTTACAGGGTCAAAAGTCAAAATGATTTCCTGCTCCATTGAGCGTAGGGGGGGGATAATCATCCCCAGCCATGAGCAGCGTGGAAATTCCACATTGCTGTGACATGGGCCAGTGTTATCCTAAGACTACCACTGTCTATTTTCCCCACATTTTAATAATGGAGGCCTGGGTCAACCCCTGAACTCGCAACCTTCCAATTCCAAGTCGATCACTTTATATATCACTATTTATACGCATTATTTTGGAAAAAAAATTCTGTGTCCCGGAGACAAATCCGAACTTGGCAACTTGACCTGGCAAGCATTCACATCTTCGCTATTGAGTGTTGCACGCGTTTATTTTAAGGGCAGTTGACATCTTGACGAGCAGCACGAACGATTGCTCGTCTCTTGACGGTGTAGGGTTTTGACGCTCGTGACCCCTCGGCGTTTTCGTGTCGGCAGGTTCGGGGCGAACTCTCCGGGAGACTGCCCTGGAGAGTTCGCCCGTCCTCGCCCTGCTGAGCGAGAACTTCATCAGCAGCTGGTCCCTGGTCAAGGACCTGGAGGACCTGAAGGTGCGTCCCTGTGTCCCTGTGTCTCGGTCACTTTCTCACCTCGTCTCCGTCGATATCGACGATGCGTGCCGTAAATTTTGATTTAAAGCTTTCGTGACTGCAGTAATTCATATTCTTAGTTTTTTCGGTAAAGTCACGTTGAAGAGAAACAACAAAATATATATAAAACAATAAAAAATTCTGCATATGCAAACCGACACACCTCATGATGACCGTTTGAGTTATGGTCGAAACGTCGTGAGAATTTTTTATTGTTTTATATATATTTTGTTGTTTCTCTTCAACGTGACTTTACCGAAAAAACTAAGAATATGATGCGTGCCGTCTTCGGCTGTTGCTGCCATTTCTGCTCGAATCTCTGCACTACATGCACACCTTATCCAGACGAATGCAATCTGGCTGTCTTCCATCAGACGTTGCTTTTTCTTTTGTTAGCGCATGTATGTATGTATGTTGAAGTTCTTTCCCACCGTAAGTAGGCAATTGTGCTAATCGGACGTGCGGAAAAGATCCTACTCTTTTCAAAAGCTATTCTTCCTTCGTGTATTTTAGCTCGTCAAAAAGGTTAGTTTGCTATGGTGTACGCTCACGTGTACCGTACCTGTCCGTGTTTTAACGCTGGGTGCTTTGGTGCATGCATCTTATCCGGTGCATGCATCTTATCCAGTGCTTTACACACGAAGGATTGTGTATAACGTACATATCTGAAACGCCAAATCCTTCTGGGCTGCGAGGTTTCCTGAAGATGGCAGTATAGCAAATGGGTTGGTGAACCGATCTGTTTAGACCTTTGAATGTTATATCCCCTTGTATGCATGGGTTATTCTCCAGTTACCCCCAGTTTCTTCTAAAAAGCAAAAATTATTTGAAATATAACTGGCCAAACATTTCAATGCAAAACTCTCCTTTAAATTCGGCACTTTCTAAATAACTACATGAATAATGTGTTTGTATCATGAACATGAAGTTCTGCTGGATTGAAGGTGTTTTATTCTGACTGCGAGTCTATCCTGTTTTATTTCTGTTACAGAAGCAGGAGGAGCAAGCGGAGCATGCGAAATGGGCGACGCTGCACCTCGCAAAATACACATTCCCAGTGGAGATGATGATCGCCCTGCCAAACGGGACAGTGGTAGGTCTTGTCCTCTCTTACACCTAGGGTTGCCACCTCTTGAGGTACAATAAAATAGGACATATGATGGGAATAAGAATATCTTACACTAGCAGAAGAGGGGAGGACTATACAAATGTAAATGCATGATCTTGGGAAGACTTGTAGATTTCTCAGGACAGCTACCTCAGAAAGAGGACTTTCTGGGAATACTGGGACAAGGTGGCAACCCAATGTTACTATTGTGTTGTTTTTTTTCTCTCCGTGTCATAAATGCCACAACCTGTAGCCTTGCAACTGGAACACTATTGCATTTCATATTTTTCTAGTTGTCACTCCATCTAATAACCTTTCGTCAACCACATCGCTGTGCCTTTTACTATATATATTTAGCACGTGCATTATTCAATACTGAATATTATCCATGTTTATATATGCAGTGGTCATCGCATATTAAGCCTCACCACGTTCTTGTGTCAATATTCCAGGTCCATTGCATCAATGCCAATGACTTTTTGGATGCCACCGCTGTAAAAGCAGAGGACCTGACACCGGACCTCCCAGCTGAGTTCCTGGACCCAACGAGCACAACCTACCTGAAGTTCCTCAAGGAAGGCCTGCAGAAGGCCCAAACCTACCTGCAGGCCTAAAGCACTTGGCGCATTTATACCTATCAAGCATCCACATCACTGAACCATCCCATGGATAAATCATGCTTCACATTCTAATTTAACAAACTAATTCAATCTTGACTTAAAGCTTTCGTAACTGCAGGAATTCATGCTCTTTGGGTCTTTCGGTAAAGTCACGTAGATAGAAAAATTAACCAATGTACTTTTTGGTGGCTATGGGAGTTATTACAGCTTCTTGTAGTCACCGTTAACCAGCAGAAGAAATTATTCGTCACGTGTGCCAAATGTGCTTCGTTAGTTTTGAAGATTGGCAAAAGTGTAGTTTTGTTTTACTTTTGCAGTTTTTATCTTAAATTGGTCTCCACAATTGCAGAATGATTTTTTTCCATTTTCCTTCTAAGCAAAATTTAGTTTCACAAAATTGAATTTTTTTCAATTTTATCTTGAAGTAAATAGTCACATGTGACTGAAAATGTTTTCATTTATAAGAAAAAATGTGCAGTGTTGGACGACTGCACACCTAAACACTACCCTTAGATCGGATTTGACATGCGTAGGTGTGCATATTTGTAAAAAGGAGTACTAATATTTTCACTTACTCGACTATTTTTAGAGAAAGTGCGAAGCGTGTTTAATATTCTAACCTCCGATACATGAACAGAAATGTGAGCAGTGTGGAGCAGCAGCAGCAGCAGGGTTGCCCTCAGTCGGACAAACTAATTTGTATTTCACACTCAACCTTAATGCAATGCAATCAACGTAGAGAGACGAGTAAGCGAATGCAACATTACAAAATGTGCAAAGATTTGTCCCATGTAGTTAGACTTGAAATATTTCCCCATACATGCGGTTTCATTTCCATTACTGTGTAGGTACCAGAAGTCAATTTGTTTTGCAGTTGCAATAATGGTTCAGAAATGTCAGAGTCCTACAAATTGTAATCATTTTTTATAAAAACAAAATTTTACCAACATGGATACAAAGCGTCACCCTCCAATCCAATATACTGGAACCTAAGCGCTGGCCATTAGTGTAGACAACCTTCTAATGTTCTGAAAATTAATCTTTGTTCTTTGTGTATCATTCATGATACATCTTCAAAGCTCATTGCTACACAACGTACACTTTTCAAATACCCAACACACACAACCCTTGGGTCAAACCTCTACCTTCCTTCATCTTGCATTTAATTAAGTATCTGAACTTTCCCTAAGGGTATACGATAACACTCGCCCCAACATATTTGTTTTTATTTTGCAGTGTTCTAAAATACTTTAAGCCTAGATCATTTGTCAATGAAAAGCCCATATTGCCACTGGGTAAAAAAATGCACTCGAAATAATAATTAGCTCATCCAACTGGAGAGGAGGCGTGCGTTGACGTCATTAGTTTCCTTTCGCCAGCAGAGGATGCAACGTGGCCGAGTTGCCAAACACCGAAGGCTCCGTCTCAATGAAGACTCTGCCATAAATCCTGTCAAGGAGGGGCTAGGTCAGACCCCCGATGTAGCTGTCCGTGGTGTGATGGTGCCTCGGCTACCAAGCCATTCTGCTGGCTGTGGGGAAACCCGCTGTTACAGAGGTGCCTATGCTCGCTCACTTAGCCAATGGAGGCAGAACGAGTGCTCCAAATGGCATTGAATGAGCATTTTCATAGATGGTGGAAAGTGGTGGTAATACCATTGCTCAAATACTTGAGAAGGTAAAATTGTTTGCCTTGTGGAACACGTCCTTACGTTGGGACTATATTAGACAATCGATTGTGTAAACAGTTGTCTCTCTCTATACGTAGTGAGTTGAGGTTACAAGTACCAATCTAAGCATTCTGTTGTGGCTCGAAAGAGCCCAGGCTGCAAGGATATACCCAACTTGTTTACTCTTAGTATCGCTTGTAAGCATAAACTGCGTGTTATTTTTATGCTGATATTTTAATGATCGCTATGACCAGGTAATGGTTGTTTTTGTTCTGGAGATTTTTTGGGGGGATAATTATTTGGAATTTTTTTTCATGTATAACATACTCTGAAGTGCAGTCAGCTCTTACTATGAGCATACTTTAAAACAGGATTGTCTTTGTTCGTAAAATCTAACATTGTTTACAAGCGTCTTCAATCCTGGATTTCCCATGAAGGACAGATGCAAATTGTGGCATGGTACAGCTCATTCGTATGCTACTTTATTTATGGTTGACATTTTTTATTAAAACTATCTATCCTTTTATACTCGTATACAATATTTTGTAGATGTACAATTAGTGTAATCATGTTTACGCTAAGCTCCCACATATTGTAATTCCGACTTTGAAATTGTTTTCATCTTCATGTTTTGAATGTATATTAAGTGCCAAATGGTATTTTGAAAGAAATATAAAAGAAGCCAGCGGTGAGTTTTGTCATTCTGTACCTTTATTGTTGAAAGAGCAAACACCCATATAGCAAAGACCTTAACATCTGGCAATATGATGTGAGACATGCATCTTACGACCTATTATAATGCGTAGTATAATTGTAAAAAGTTACAAGTTAAAAATCTCATTTTAAAAAAAGCAAACTTTTTCAATGATTTGATTATATTGACGAATATTGCAAAGCCACAGAGTGCGACTTGATCAGCCTGGGGCTCTTATGTCCACACTGCTCTAAACGAACATCGGCACAACTACGGCAAACGCCAGCACAGACCAATATTAACATTTCCTGATATCACATTGCAGCTACTTAATAGTCCCAAAGCTAAAACCACTTGCTTAAGATACACAACACATGATAAAAGTATGACATTCATTGCAGTGTGAGCTTTCTAGAGATATCTGTATATAAGATGGAATACCAGCCAGTTCCGACTTATCCTTGACCTTTAACTGTGAAGAACAAGCATGGTCACGTGGTGTTCCAATGCTTCCGTGTGCAAATGCGCATCAATAGTGGCGTTGTCGAATTGCATTCCCGGGGGAATTTATGCTTTGTGCGTGCACAATACTTCACAGTTAAGAGAGAGAGAACATTGTATGTCGACCAGGCTTTGGTAGCTATTTACAAAACAAATGCCCACAAACGTCCCCATTTCTGACATCGCCATCATTCAATATCTTTAAAATAAGTTACATTTAGCGCTAAACCACTACCATTAAAACATTCCCCCAATATATATAAAATTATCTCAAACTCGAGGAGCTGTGGTTTATTTAAATATTTGTTTTACAATCAGCCAGTGGTTCTGCAACATATGAACTCTACGAGTTGTGCATTCCAGTGGATATAAATTCACACGCCTTTAATTTGTACCTTGCAAGTATTGCTTTTGGAACGTGGTGCAGTTACTACCCACAGGGAAAATAGTTATTTGCACTAATGCAGAATTCTCTCGTGGCAATAAAATGTTTGTCATCAAGAACAATTCCTTAAATCTCATGAAATAGAATCACCGATGCCTAAAAGGCAATGAGACATACCCATGGCAGTGCATGTAACATCACATTTCATATGCCTCAACTGGATTATCTTGGGTAATGGTGTGGAGGAGTGGCACTGGTAACACAAAAAAGGATAATGCAAAACATGTAATTTAGGTGACAAAAGTGTTTCCCTATGTAGAATAGTTGACAATGCATCGTATGTTTATATTAAAGCAATGGGTTTACTTGTCGATTGGTTTGCACTGAGTCACTGTCCCTTCTAGATTAAGGAACAGCGAATAATGAATTTCGGGCATGTGTAAACATTTTTATACGCCACAAGCAAGGTTAAGCCACAACCAAGTTAATCCACCCAGAGATAAACGAGTTCAAAGTTATCAGTGTTACTTTACTGAAAAAGAAACTCACAATATAATGTTGACATCCTAGTTAACAGGCCTTTATGCTAGGGTCCAATTATATTGTTTTCTGATGTGAAATCTTCATACCCTATGACGTGTGTAAGAGGGAAGAGTACATAATATTGGCTGTTGTATGCACAAGTGACAATAACTCTGGTGGGTCAGATGTTGACCAGTAGATAATGAACCACTTCATTTCCAGACTCTCATCATGCACTGACATACAGAGTATCCTGCTTAAAAACTTTCACAAGGACATTTTTTTACCTCCCAGTGCAGCATTTGACATTTAATTGAGTACGTAAATATCCAAGCATAATCAGGACTAGAGCTCCTCAGGGTGCTCATCGTGTTCAGGACTAACACCCAGATCTCTGAGACTACCACTCTGGACCATGTGCAAATGTCTATTGTATTAAACTGGGCCAATTCCACCCTAATTTTATCATGACATACAGGTGAGAGAGTAGGGCTAGTGGGGCCTGCCTTGCCTTGCTAGGCTTGGCAATACCCTTATACAGATGTGGGTAAGCACCGTCCCTGGGCCAGCCTCCACTAGCCCATCCAGGTCCTATGGGACCTCGTATCCTCAATGTCACATTGCAATTAACATGGAATCGGGCCAATTCTATGCTCGAAGCATAGTAATGCATTTCAATTGCAATTTTGGCCTATTGATAGGATATTGCCAATGCTTAGCTAAGCGAAATCTGCAACAGAATCTCAATAGAATCCCATTTTATTGCAAGGAATCATCCATAGCAGTTTTCCTGTAAGGATCTCATTCAATTCATTGGATATTTTAACAGGGGAACCACACATAGAAGACTGTTGGTTCTTGCAGGAATTTTCTCGGGTGGAATCGTGGGTATCAAATACGCTTGGATGTAGAATTCTCCCAGTTAAGACTGGCTTCACTGGTCAAACTACTGTAAAATATATCATTATATGGCTTCACATTTTAAATTGAAAACTCATGTATATCGAACTGCTTTTCGCGTGTAGTTTGTTGTCCTTGCCCCGCACCTCCGAGTAGCACGGTTGGCTAAGTATGGTGCGAAAGAACCTCAACATATGTACGTACGTACAACAAAAATGGGCATTCCGAAGAACGGTGCCGCCTTCGAAACAAGGCCCTTAGTGCTTTGGGCCATTGGAAGTGGCTGTCCGGGAGGTCGCGTGGCTCGCGTGAGTGGGAATCTTGGACACTTTGGCCGGCAGCGGCCGGGAGGCTCTCTGGTTGGGTCCGTCGGCCGCCGGGGCTGTGGATGGCTCGATCTTGGTGGCCCTCGTCGCCAGTGGAGCTGGCGCGGTGCCACTGCGTCGCTGCGTGGGGGACGCCCTGCTGCTGCTGTTGCTGCTGCTGTGGTTCCCAGGACGCGCCTCGGCGGTGGCTGCTGGAGGCATTTCCGAGGGCTTGTGGGAGCCTGCTTCGAGACGAAAGTATCACGGGCGCCAACATAAAGGGATTGTACTGCACTGCACGAGGGCCGAATGGATTCTGGAGCTCATGGCATGGACACAAATCGCATTATCGGGATGGCATTGTGGAGAGACAAAAGGAGTGAAATGTAATTAAAAAAAATACAGTGCTATGAAGAGGGGCCATTGCCTGAAATGCCACCAATTATATTTTTTTCTTTTAAGGCAGTGTAATTAACACGTGTTGTTTGTTAATTGTACTTGGGCACCACTGCCAATGCAGTTATCATCACATACAATGTTCACATCAAAACAGATTTTTATGCTCGAGGTATATACACTGAATCATGTGCATAAGAATCCGAATTTATAATTTATGTAAATGATATCATGTTATAAAAAAGCAAATGAAAAGCAAAGAGATAACATCAAGCAGTGCTAAGGTGGAACCAGACCGTGGTACACTGGTCTCGCAAGACACGTCGTGGTGGTGGGATGTGAACTCCTTCGCCTGGTACACAGGATGTCGGGGGTCCGATCCCGACCCTGACGCCTGTATAGTTTATAGTTTAGTTTACATGAACGTGGCTCGAGACCGAGCAATCGGAGTGAACAACACATTCCGTGTCAGGGTGTGATCCACACGAGTCTCGACGAGTCTCGGTGCACGTGACCTCAGTGGCACTGCTTCTTTGATTCTAAAGTGGAAAGACAACCTGGCGACTCGTGAGCCACCACCGCGGGGTAGCTCAGCACGGCCCCAGAACGGCTCTGTTGTGCAGTGGAAATAAATAAGTGTAAGAGAATGTAGAGAAAGCAAACAAGTCACGGTCTACCTGAAGACAGGGCCTGGGAGGGTATGCTGGATACGGAGCAGCTGAGCTGGCCAATGCGCTCCTTGCGCCCAGACTTTCCATTTCCTGACTTCCTGAATTTGTTCGCAGCGGCATCGGACGCCTGTTGGGAGCGGGAAGCATCACAAACATTGCCCATACGTCAACACCGCTCTTATTATATATACATCGTCGGCAACCGGTGCGACATTCGTATCAGGTCGTAGCTCGCCATCCGCGTTGTCGACTTGCACACCTGCTGGGAGTCACGGCTGCCGCCGGCTGGAACGGCGTCTTCAGGGCAGGCGCTCAGGCTGGGCAGGCTGCTGGTGGAGCTGTGTCGGCTCGGAGCCGCCACCTTCACGCCCCCACTCTTACTCCGGAACAGCACCATGGCCTTGCCGCCGCCCTCGCCCGACGACAGCCGCTCTCGCAGGTCCACGTTGGTGCGGCCCTTGGCTGCGTGGCACACGGAAGCCGGCAAGCAATAAGGACGGTCACCGACTCCCATTCACTGTCATCACCGTCGTTGTCATGATTAGCACGGTTGGCTACGTACGGTGCGAAAGAAGTTCAATATACGTAGACACATCAACTTCTGGCTGAAGGCCTCCCTGAGCTGTCAATATCCCTGTAAATTCGTGTGTAGATTTGAGAATGGTAGAATTTCTTAAGTATAAATTGTCACAATATACGATCATCAACTATTTGTTTATTCCATTGGTGTGGAAGTGAAACCTCTTCGTGGCTGCCGAATTTACATGAACTGATGAGAACGTAAAATTGTAAATTGAGCGACAGGGTGTATGGGTGGCTCAGAAGTTGAGCAGGCACCAACAAGTCCAAATTTAGAATTGAGACAGCCTCCCGTGACTGAATGAATGAGTACATTTGCATTTACATTGTGCTCTCTTCACCCACGTAATGGAACGTGTTCGATGCACCTTTCGGAAGCTGTCCTTGTGTGTGACAAGGTGACTCAGCAGCTGGCTAGGAGCTGGGCATGAATCTGCCAGGAAAGGGTGACTTCTGCTGCAAGAGTAATTTGTAGGTACATTTTCGAATTCTTCGAACTTTTCGAATCGAGAATGACACTGGGGGGGGGGAGAACCGGCACGACTCGGAGAAAACCCACGCAGAACAGCGCGAGAATATACAAACACACAGAGAGGTGCTCGAGTCGGGAATCAAACCCGGGCACTTCTTGCCGCAAGGCGTAAGTGTTACCACTGGGCTCTCTCCGAGCGTGCGGTGCCAAGGTAGGCTGGTGGTGGCGCGACAGAGCGCCTCGGTACCTCTGCACGGGTCATTCTTCTGGAGGAAATCGCCCAGCGAGAGCCAGCCCCCGCCCACGCGTACCATCACCGTGCTGCGTAGGATCCGCACCAAGCGCAGCTGCTGCGAGTCCCCAAACTGTGAGCGGCAGCCACAGCTGATGAGTGCGGCGTCCACCGCGGGAGGGTTTGCACTACAATCTCGGCGTCAAACAAAAACTCCCGCCGCCACGCACGGCTCGGCATGGTAACGCGCGCATGCGCACCACGCGCTGCCGCTTTTGTCAATCCAGCGCTGGATGAGGGCATCCCCCACACCATGCGGATCGTGGGGGGGGGGGGGTGGAGACCATACTTCACCACATCGATGAAGGTTGGGAACACATACAAGGAGCACAAGTGTACAGTATAACACATTTTTTGCGCTGCCTGCCACATAGGCCTGTGGCCTACAACAGCTGTTGTGTACTGCTGTCATCCACCCGAACACTAAGCAGGCTAAAACCTGCTTAGCTTCCGACGTCTGACAAGATCGAATGCATTCCGGGTGATTTGGTCATAGGCCATCATGGTAAAGGATCTTTTTTTTATTGCCACACCATTAAATGCCACATAGTATGCCACAGCCCATGGGGATGTGACTATGTGGTCCATGGTTTTGAGATTGGGATCCACAGTCGCTCTGTGAGCTACTCATAATTTTATACTGGCGTTGAAGATATCCGCATCCACCATAAAAAAAATTCTGATGCAATTCAGCAGGGACCTTAGTTTGTGGCGTTGTCTCTGGGTGAATATTTAACACTTCAAATGTGCACATTTATTGAATTTTGTTGGGGTTTTATTTTTCTCAGATTGAGCAAACGTGAAACTTACCCTGTATTTGTTTTCTTCTACTTGCTCCACTTGGAACCTCTGGGGACATTTGCAGGCGGACACCTTTCTAATGACCTGGCAGTGATGGGCAAAGATGTTACCAATGAGTATAGAAGTACGTCAACACAAGTACAATCCTCATACACAAATCCAAATATCTCAATTTGGATTACAATGTAGACTCGAACATCACCAGGATAGTGAAAGTACCTGTTTCACATCTGTGCACATTAATTCAGAAGAAAATGTCAGTTTGACACATACGCTTTCGCGACCAATATTATGGATTTATTCTCCAACACACCGGTGGGCTGAAGTAGTAACTAATTGGCACGTTTTGTTTACGTTACAAACCTTACTGGTTGGCTGTTTCGGGTGGTGGTTAGTTACGATCTAACCCAAAAATCCTTAAATGAAGAAAATGTAAGTGAGCCATATTCTAAACGAAAAAATATATTTTAAGGTTTATTTTGTATTAAAAATATATGTAGAATTCTGTATAGAAATGTCGCTTTGTTTCCGGATTCAACACATTTTTTTATATATAGCTGTTAGTATTAACTATTTTATATTTTACCAGATAAGGCCCACTAAACTATAAAGCTCTTTTTCTGAAGCAACCTAGCCACAAATGATATCTGAACAAAGTGGCTTATCACGTGGAAATCTTCTAGCAGCAAACGTGGAGAGAGAAACTGGAGGACCTGGAGAAAACTCCACGCAGCCACGGGCAGAATATACAAGCTCCAAATATACTGGCGTCGGGGTCGGGATCGAACCCACGACCTTCTTCACAACAGGCGAGGTAGTTAACATCTCGCCGCCGTGTTCATCAATTCATTGCCGGATAAAATCCTCCCGACACCATGTCGGTCATGGGGGTTATTTGACCATGCTTCACCACGCTAGTCAGTGTGGGTTTGTGAAGCAGTGGGCCAGGACCGGTTCAGACATCACTTTCCACTGGTCTTAGCCGTGGCTGGGAATCGAACTCGGTTCACCGGGTTCACAGCGCACTTCACCAACGCTTCCTTTTAATTCAAGAAACATCAGGTCTGACATTTCATGGGTATCAAATTTGCTTCTTAATGATCTATTTGCATTATTTATACGCTCACAATAGCAGCCATACAAACACTTCGAAATTGGTCTTGCAGGGGCTACTGCTGGAGTTGCATTGAGCTGCCATATGCCTGGCGCGTTTGCTCGTGCGTTTCACAAAGTTGCTAACTCTTACATAATGAAACCCATCTGTGCATGGTGCACAGCTCACCTCGTCGTCGATCTTGTCGGCGTCTGTCATGGTGCCGCCAGCTTTGCTGGGGCACAGCTCGGAGACGAACTGGTAGTAGTCCACGAGCGTGCCCTCCTGCACCCCGAACCTCCCGACCACGGCGTCCAGCTCCCACTCCTCGCTGCCCAGCCCTACAGGAAATGGACCAGGGTCAACAGTTACGAGCGAAGCATCAACTCATCGCTTGCATCGATTTATCATGCTCCCGATGTATGTACTGTGTGTTGAACGTCTTTCGTGCCGTACGTAGCTGGGTGAAAGTCTTCCCAAGGCGTGCAGGTCATAGGATTCATTGCAGCATATTTCACCACGCTGGTCAGTGCAGGTTGGTAAAGGCGGGGATGAATGGACGTGAGACTTGTGGGGCAAAGAAGTGCAGAACAATGATGGATATTGCTGCACTGCCCTCTGCTGCTCACCACTAAGTCTCGCAAGCCCTACGACAACTTATGTGTGTGTTGTGGTCAACCATCTAAGCACTATCCAGGCTCCACCCCTGCTTAGCTCATGAGATCTGACGACATTGGGCCCATTCCAAGTTATCTAGTCATAGGCACCTGGTTCAATATAACGTTGATGAATGAATGGTTGTACGCTGCTATTGCCTAGCCAGGGAGGTTTCTCTCCTTCTTACCCAGCAGAGAGATCTCGCGGACAAACTCATCCCGTGTGATGCGGCCGTCCTGGTCTCCGTCCAGACGCCGGAAGATATCCATCAGACGAGACTTCCTCAGCTTCGTCTGTTGCGAGAAGAGCTTCCTCCACTGTGCGAAGCTGAACTTTTCCTGCTCCAATTCCTGCCGCATCTGCCCGTTGTCAAAATCACGATTTACGAAGATGCTGTATGTAAAACAATGGTATTCATTCACACGGGAGAGCACCGCTGAGCCACCAGACTCCTGTCAAGGAGGGTCCGGCATTAATGTTTGAGCAATCGATTATTAAACAAGGGATGTTTTCATGACGATGTCGAAGGTCATAATGACGATGTGATTTAAGTCCCCAGGGGAGCCTCGCTGAGTCACAAGAGGCTATTTGCAGGAGGGTCCCGCTACACTGGGGTGTTTTAAGCAATTCCATTCATGAGTTTTTGGCTTCATGTTTGGGAAGGAAAGTGGAGTAACTGGAGAAAACACACCGCCCATGCGAGGGGGTAACACTCAAAGCTCCACACAGATGGAGTCAATAATTCCTCTCTTGTACTGTCATCTCCTGGCCACCTCAAAGCCCAAACTTACAAGACTCTGTATTCCGAGGTAGTTTCCCATCTAAGTATTACCCAGGCTTAGCTTCCAATGTCTGATGAGTTCTACTGTTCTGTAGAACCACAACCATAAACCATCAGCACAAACATTTTTCAAACGATGAAAGAAGTTTTATGGAAATGCATAGGCATGCTCATCCACTGAAGTGATTTTGTGATTCTCCTTATTTCAGACTCGTTATTCGATGGAAGAGTTGATCATTCCTACACTTTGTTCATAGTTGTTATTTTAAAAATAGAATTAATACAATATTTTTCACCCCATTAGTCTGAATGGCATAAATTAACATCTTACTTATGTACGAATGTGGCACTTCGAGACATTTGGTTCTGTGATTTAGTGCCTTATGAATGAAAGCTGTTGAAGTTTCTGATGTTGTTGAATGAGTAATTTGAACAAATTGTAATTAATTAATTCTTGCACAATTTGATACATGTGTCATGAGCATGGTTGTAGCTTTTATTTACTTATTTCATACATAATTACATGCCTAACACTTCAAGATCATTGGTAATTCCTTACTGCTGTTGACCAAATTCATATTAAAAGCGAATGAGAACCGCATGAGCTTAAACAACAATTCCAAATAGATATCCTATTCTACAGAATTCTGCACGAGCGCATGGAAACATGCACGTTTGGAAGAGGAACACAAGGATTGGAGAACGCAGACAAATTAGAGACATCACGCTGACCCATGAAAAGTAAGTAGCCTTGTGCAGAACAGGGCTCTAGGAGGGGATGACAGCCGATGAAAGAATGGCAGGCACCTGAGAGAAAGTCTACCGCTGAGATAGAGTGATGAAGTCAGCTTGTATGTAGGAGCGAGATGGAGACCGTGAGAGATGGTGACAGCTTGCGGATTTCATCCGGCAGTGAATAGATCATGGCTGATGATAATGATGATGACGATCAGAACAGAATGACAATAACGGATGGAAAATATGTCATTGAGCAACTAACGATGGTGATAATAATGATAATGCCACTACAGTGATGATATTCATATTAATGGTATTCTGGGATGAATTAACAATTCGCACAGCCTTAATTACTGACCACCAGAGGTCGACTTGCACGAGGCGGTGACTTGCTCGCTCACCGTCTGGCTCTGCTGGAGGGCGTCACGGAGCCGGCCCTGCCGCTCCAGCGCCGCGAGCCACACCTGGTGCCAGCAGGCCACGAGCGCCGTCACGTGGGGGTCTCGCGGCTCAGACAGCGGCCCGGGGGACAGCGGCGACGACACGGGGCTGTCGGGCTGCGAGCCCGAGAGCTTGCCTGCGCCCAGACACGCACACGCCCGCACGCACGCGCCCGCCATTCGCCGCTTAAGAGAGGGCGACGTCGCCACGGCGCTCGTGCCAGGGTAAGACGGCACGAGCCTGGCCCCCTGCCGCCGCTGGGGCACGCGCCGGCCCGCACCGTGCCGCACTTGAACGCCCGCGCACAAAACACGCAAGTCAATGCACGGACGCAAAAGCACACATGCGACGGCACGCATGTCACACAACGCACACGTATGCCGGTCATGCTGCTCACGTCACGTACCGAGCACGCACGCGCACGCACGTACGTACGCACACATACACCATACCCCGCATGCGTGCCACAGAACAATAATGCCACAAGACGGATGTGGCAAGAGCATGGACACCACAGCGTGCACATGACCACAAGACACACGTGCCACAGCACAAAGACAAAGACCCCCAATATAGCCTTTAACTATGGTGCGAGGACCTATGAAGGCCGGGATGGCACACAAGGGGGTAGGGTGACCAACACCACGCCCCACCACTTTTGTCTCCCCAGTGCTGATGTGTACACACTGCCCCAAGTACTCGTTTAAGGCTGAGCCGACCTAGAGGAGGCCCGAGACCAGTTCAAATATGAGCAGGAATTGTACTCGGGTCGCCGGGTTTGTAGCGCAGTGTGCTGACTACCTACAGTTTATAAAAACAGTGCTGCACACACAACACATATGATTCACACAATCATGGAGCCAAAGCAATGAGCTCTCATGCAATGATCAAGGAATACAAAGTCAGCACGGTAAACATGCTAACTCCAATTCAGTCACTCGCTCCCCTGTAAAAGCGTGAAGTGAAAAACGACGGCCAAACTCACGCGTCCTCGTCTTGTCCAGGAACGGGGAGAGGGGCCCACTCAGCTGTGACTCGCTGGAGAGCTTGCGCCTGTTGTACCTACCGAGGCGATCCATCTCTGGCTGCTTCAGCATCATCCTCTCCATCAGGCTCTGCGGACAGCGGCCTCGTGTGAGCGAACGGCGCGTGGCCGAGTGAGAAACGCCGCTTTGCTACGGGCGGTGGGGGGGCTAGACGCAACATCGGGCTATTGGAGACGACGAAAAGACGTGGTTGGTTGAAGGCAGCGTCGGCGTTTTTTGGGGGACCTTGGGGGCTTGCACTCAACAACCGTGATAAGCGAAAAAAAAGCAAGCAGGTGAAATGTAGTGAGTGCAGAACGCATCGTTCTGAATTGCAGGTGAATTCGTCATCATCTCGCTGATCGCAGCACAAAAGGAGGAGTCATGACTCGTGAGCGCTACCCCCTCCGTCTGTTCGTACTTTATCCAGGCACTTTCGTTTTCCCCACACGGTTAAGAATGCTTGAAGAGGAATTGGCCAGACATTGCAAGGATTAACCTCCTGAAAAAGAGCCTTGAGGCTCGTTCAAGAATCGCCTGAGTGAGTACAGGAACCAGATAGTCGGTGCACGATAGCTTGAGTGAGCAAGTGAATGACTGAGTATGGTCGTCACCCGTTCATAATTAGTACTGACATCACAGAGGCGGACCTCTTCCCATGGGGGGATGGGCGGGGGGAATGGCCCAGTATCTAATTCTCCAGGAATGCGGTACTACATTAACGATAAACAATCAACACATTTTCTCTGGTAATTATCAACAAAATACCCAAGGGAGGAAGCAGTCACCCTCCACCGCGCATCCCTTGGATTCACCACTGAGACATCACACATTTCAGATGAGTCTCCTCATCACTGTGTTGACTCTTCCTTTATCAATGGTTTTCATGATTCGACACAATTGTCCCAAAAAATACCTATTTGCCAGGGTACGTGACGTTGAAGCGCAACACATGGATGCGTGATCTATGTCTATCATTTGTTAACCCTCTCCCATTCCGATGACGTACGTGTACGATAACAGTTTTTCTTCCAATTAGTTTGCATGATTCGACATATGTGTACATCATTGGAACGGATTCATAAGTAAAAGGCCATGCGGGAGGGCGTGTGGCACAGGTTAGCGCCAGCTATCCTAGAGTGCGGTCGTGTCGGTACAGTTCTCTGCGGTGAGTACAATATCTTTAAAACAGCGGCGCTACGCCTCTCGAAATAAATGTAACGCTGACCGCTTGCGCGTTTCGAGATTGAGCGGTGAACGGGACCGACCCTGCAACGTACAGACGTCTCCGAACAGGAAAGGGCTGAGTTCAAAGAGCTAGAAAGTCAATGGCAACGTAGGGCAAAAATGCGCCGGATCGGCGAACTGGGCTCGTCACCTGGTGCTCGTCGATGAGGCCCTGTATGGACTCCTCATCCTGGGGCAGGAGCTCCGTCTCCTTCTCGGCCAGCGAGTCCTGCGCCTCTTGCAGCCACAGGAACATCTCCTCCGCCAGGTGTGCCTGCTCCTCAAGCTCCCGCAGCGACGTGTCCAGCCAGGCCTGGAGCCGCCAGGCCCGGCCACTCACCTGCACGTGCAGAAAATAGCAACAAAAAATGACAATAGCAAAAAAAAAAATTGTTTTCTAATATAAGTGTTATAAACAACTCTAGCCTGGCGGCCAGGGCCACAAAGAAACAATCCACAATTCAACGTGGCTCCGGATTTGTAAGTGAATAAGCCACATTAGGTTATAGTGTGCACACGTAGGCCCGTCCTCCCAGATGCCAAATCTTTATTGATTGAACTGGCCAAACATCCAAATGTGGCACGATCCTCCCGAGGAAGAGTCTCGAGACTCAATTAGGCTCTCCTGGATAATCGTAAACAGCGGCCACCAATCGTGGTGGCTTATGAAGTCAGAAGGTCGGCGAAATAAGTTCAACATACACACGTATAACATTATCTGCTTCCTTGAACATGTGCCAGTAATTGAGAATGTCCTGTCTGCCGGGGCCACGTGTCCACCTCTTGGAAGTTGTTGTGCACCGAGGCCAGGCACTGCTTGAGACTGTTCGTGCCGTCGGGGTGACAGGTAGACAAGATGGCATCAGCCAGGCCAGAGATCCTTGCCATCTCCTCCTCCCTGCTCTCCAGCTCCAGCATCCACTCCTGCGGTGAAAATAAAATCCCGCGTAAGCACTCGCTCACGCTGTATGCCAGCGTTCTTCATTGCAAGGCACGCGGGCCACTGGCGGCCCCTGGTGGCCTTCAGTGCGGCCCCCGACAATAGAAAATGTGAAAAAACATTGCGCTGTCAAACCCCCAATGGTTTAAAATGTGTGGCGACCCTCACACTGATGTCTTATCGGCCCCCCTCTGAAAATGAGTGAAGAACGCCGATGTATGTCGATGGGATGGCGAGGGGGGGGAGGGAGGAGGAGGAGGGGGGTCTGTTTAGGGGTTCCACCTCTGACGTATGAAAAAACTGGACATGTCATGGGAAAAACGAATCTCAAAATACAGCATAAGGAGGGGATCTACATGAAAATGGATTCTCTTGCGTGGTGTATCATTAATCAACTGACATAAACCGGGACATTTGTTGTACTGGGAAGACTTGCAGATATTCCAAGACAGCTACAAGGAACCAAAAAAAAAGAGGACTATCCCGGGAAAACCAGAATCGAGGCAGCAAACCTCAGAATCTTTCTCAGAATCTTTATTGAGATTGGAGGAATCCGATGAGCCACGAAGTTTTTTCACAGGCGTCCAGTAATCTACAGTAGATGGTGGGTGGGTTTGCGACGGGGTGGGGTGGGGGGGGCGGGGCAACCGGCAGATTGCGCGCAGCGTTCGCATCTGACCGCGTGCTGCCTGGCCAGCTCCTGCAAGGCTTCCTCCTCCTCAGGCAGGGCGTCGTGCGGGTAGAGCATCCGATCGGCCAAAGTGCACCACTCCAGCTGCCGCGTCATCGCTCTCGCCAGCTCCTCCGCCTGCTCCGCGGCGAGATGATCAGACGAGAGAGAGAGAGAGAGAGAAAAGCAGCCACAAAAGCTTTCACGTGTGTCGTGGATTAAAGCGACGGCGTTGCAAAAACACGGAGCGCTGCGTCTCAACTCGCAAACGCTCTCACACCTCGCGCATTAGCGCTGAGACTCACGTAGTCAGGCTTTTTCTCACGCTGTCAGGGGGATACCGATTATCTCACACGTTTCCAGGTGCGGGAACGTGGAAATATTTATTGAGTTCATACGAAAGGTATTGATTTGCATCTGCCCAGGTATAAAATGCCTGAAAGTACAACCTCCGAAACAGTGGCAGAGCGTGGTTGGAATGAGCCCTGGTGTAAGGAATCCAATAGGATGCCCTCTCCAAATCCCCCCTCTTTGTAGCCAGGTGCTTGGGCCCTTGCGGTCTCTTACAAACACAGCAACAGCCCCACCCACACTAAACTACGCTGGCAACTGATCAGTTAGGTCTGAGATTCATGCATCACTCGTTCACACCGGACCCCTTTCATATGTTCAACTGCCTCTCACGCAGGGCTAATCTTAAGGCCACCCGCTGGCTACTACCGCACCTCTCCACGCCTGAGAGGCCTGCGCACATTCCACATGAATTCAAAGGATGCTGTTGATGATGTTGCTACGGTTGCAAAAGTGATGGTACGAAGCAGATAATCACGTCCATCACGAGAGCAAGCACAAATATCCTTCGGAAGGATTTAATTTGCAGTGTGGAAGCTGTCGGGGCAAAATGTGTTTTTATTATAGCAAATAATTATTTTTGCTCTGGTTTGTGTCTCCACGTTTTCGGTGACCTTTTGACTAATTTGGCCAGTTTTCTAAAAGTAAAGTCCCTACTACAGGTACTTTAGTACTGTAAATGTTTATTTTCTTTTATTTATTTTAATTTATTTTCTTTTTACAAGAGTTATAGGGCCCCCCTCGTGTTACGAACAGACATAATGCTGTTCACCCTCGTTGGAGAGCTCAATACATGCGTGGCTGGCTTCATAAGCTACTATGAATTCTTTGGGCTGACTTTCTCACCCGATATTTGTCGAGAACACTGCTTATCTTGCCGGACACCACTGCAGTATTGTGAAGAAATAAAGGAAGAAGAAGAATTTGAGATGGATGTAGCGCGGCAAAATAATTCCCTGAACAGAAGTTTGGATTTCTCCATGTGAACTGAATCTCGCCGGGCACACCTCTACCAAGCTAAACTTGTTATATTACCAGGTAAGGCCCACTGAACTATATATCTCTTTTTCAGAAGAAACCTGGCCACAAATGACAGCCCAACGAAGTGGCTTATCGCGCGGAAATCTAGAGCAGCCAAATGTCTCTGAACGCGTGATGCCGATTCTAAATGCGGCGGGGAAAACAGGAGGACCTGGAGACAAATCCACGCAACCATGCGGAGACAAAAACACGCAAACTCCAAACAAACAGCAGGCGGTCAAGGGTTGGGACCGAACCCACGACCTCCTGCACACCAGGCGAGGTAGTCAACATCCCCTCGCCACCACGGCACCTGCTGGTGCGCCGCGTGGAGGCGCGTCTCCTTGGCGGTGGCGAGCCGGCACACGGCCTCCCAGCGAGCGAGCAGTGCCTCGGAGCGCTCCACCATGCCGCACGAGTTCCCTCCGCCCAGCGCGGCGCACTCCCGCGAGGCGCGGCGCACAAACTCCGCGCTCTGCCCATGCTCCGACAGCTCCTCGCGGAGGGCCTGCCGACGAGAGGGAGGGGGGGGGCCCAACGGTGGGACGACGCTCGCGCGTCACGGAACAACAGCAGGGACCCCCCACCCCACCCCCACCCCCCACCCCCGCGGCGCTAAAAGCCACGGAACTTTGCAACGTTTAAAGAGATTGAGTTTTGGGCCGTGATTTTATCCCCGGCCGTCACATCCTGGGCGTATTGTGTGGCGACTGGTGATCCTATTGTTCTGTGCCCGGTGATCCTATTGTTCTGTACCCAGTGATCCTATTGTTCTGTACCCGGTGATCCTATTGTTCTGTACCCGGTGATCCTACTGTTCTGTACCCGGTGATCCTATTGTTCTGTACCCAGTGATCCTATTGTTCTGTACCCGGTGATCCTATTGTTCTGTACCCGGTGATCCTATTGTTCTGTACCCGGTGATCCTATTGTTCTGTACCCAGTTGACCTACTGTTCTGTACCCGGTGATCCTATTGTTCTGTACCCGGTGATCCTATTGTGCTGCACCTGGTGAATGTGTTGTGTTGTCCCTAGTCAACGTTTTGTGGTGTACCAGGTGAACGTGTTGTGGTGTACCAGGTGAACGTGTTGTGCTGAACCAGGTGAACGGGTTGTGCTGAACCAGGTGAACGGGTTGTGCTGAACCAGGTGAACGTGTTGTGGTGTACCAGGTGAACGTGTTGTGGTGTACCAGGTGAACGTGTTGTGCTGAACCAGGTGAACGGGTTGTGCTGAACCAGGTGAACGTGTTGTGCTGAACCAGGTGAACATGTTGTGTTGTCCCTAGTCAACGTGTTGTGGTGTACCAGGTGAACGTGTTGTGGTGTACCAGGTGAACGTGTTGTGGTGTACCAGGTGAAGGTGTTGTGGTGTACCAGGTGAAGGTGTTGTGGTGTACCAGGTGAACGTGTTGTGGTGTACCAGGTGAACGTGTTGTGGTGTACCAGGTGAACGTGTTGTGGTGAACCAGGTGAACGTGTTGTGGTGTACCAGGTGAACGTGTTGTGGTGTACCAGGTGAACGTGTTGTGGTGTACCAGGTGAACGTGTTGTGCTGAACCAGGTGAAGGTGTCGTACTGAACCAGGTGAACGTCTTGTGGTGTACCAGGTGAACGTGTTGTGTTGTACCGGGTGCACACGTTGCGGTGTACCGGGTGCACACATTGTGGTGTACCAGGTGAACGTGTTGCGTTGTACCGGGTGCACACATTGTGGTGAACCAGGTGAACGTGTTGTGGTGTACCAGGTGAAGGTGTCGTACTGTACCAGGTGAACGTGTTGTGGTGTACCAGGTGAACGTGTTGTGGTGTACCAGGTGAACGTGTTGTGGTGTACCAGGTGAACGTGTTGTGGTGAACCAGGTGAACGTGTTGTGGTGTACCAGGTGAACGTGTTGTGGTGTACCAGGTGAAGGTGTTGTGGTGTACCAGGTGAAGGTGTTGTGGTGTACCAGGTGAACGTGTTGTGGTGTACCAGGTGAACGTGTTGTGGTGTACCAGGTGAACGTGTTGTGGTGAACCAGGTGAACGTGTTGTGGTGTACCAGGTGAACGTGTTGTGGTGTACCAGGTGAACGTGTTGTGGTGTACCAGGTGAACGTGTTGTGCTGAACCAGGTGAAGGTGTCGTACTGAACCAGGTGAACGTCTTGTGGTGTACCAGGTGAACGTGTTGTGTTGTACCGGGTGCACACGTTGCGGTGTACCGGGTGCACACATTGTGGTGTACCAGGTGAACGTGTTGCGTTGTACCGGGTGCACACATTGTGGTGAACCAGGTGAACGTGTTGTGGTGTACCAGGTGAAGGTGTCGTACTGTACCAGGTGAACGTGTTGTGGTGTACCAGGTGAAGGTGTTGTGGTGTACCAGGTGAAGGTGTTGCGTTGTACCGGGTGCACACGTTGTGCCGTACCTGGTGCTCGGCCAGGAGCCTGGCGACCGTGTCCATGTCGCCCAGGACGGGAAAGTCAGGTGACAGGAGCGGTTCGACGCCGTCGAGCCACGCGGACAGGGCCTGCAGGGCGTCAACCAGCTGCCCTGACAGCATCAACGATGCCTCCAAGCTTTGCTCCCTGCATCCGAGCGATCCGACGCATGCCACGCACGCAAGTCACTTTGCTACGGTCAGCAGCGACGCTGTCAATGCACCGGCGCAAAAACGCCCAGCTGGCATATTGATCAAGAGAGACCAACGAGACCAACGATATTCTCCCAAGGTTCACCTGGGTAAAAATAAATACATCAGGGAGCAAGACAGTTACACTCTAGAGATAAAGCGAACGGTAAAACAAGTTCAAATAAATAAACAAAACGTTTAATGGAAAACCTTATCACCATATAAAACAGGAATAATAGATTTTTTGTGAGACGTAAAATGTTGAAAAGTATTTACATTCATAGCAATTGGAAACTGTTGATAATCAAGTGGAATATATTTTTTTCTATTCAAATTTGGCAATCTACTGGGCCCGAGATAGTTCATGAATATGAATGGTACGGAACAAACAATGATCTGCCGTAGGTAATTTACTTGAATAATGAGGGCTAGTTTCCCATTTTAATAAACGTGCCATAATACATCGTTGCCTTCACGATTTGGCGCGGAGCCAAATCGTGAACTGTATTTAAAGAAACACGTGAGCACATAGTACTTTATAATATAATGTGCGAATTGAAATTTTGAATCATGAAATGTGAAAAGTCCAATTATGAAGCATATTACTTTTGTTTATTTCAATCAAATCATGTTTAACTCCAACTCTGTACTGGTTATTCAAACAGTGCAGATTGTTTAAACCACAGTGTTTCATTGTATCAAGATTGACACCACCAGTCTCTTTGCATTCATACTTTTAATAATGATAATAATCTGATGGGCTAATGGGTGACTTACACAGCCACCTAGTTTAGTATGAACAAAGATATAATAGGAGTTTTGACAAAACACATTGGACATGCCATGTTATCGAAATGTTCGCAAAATACACACTCACGTACGTGCGCACACATTCACACTGCTTGTCTACACACAGCCAGGTAGAAAAGCAAAGAACCGATACACAATAGCAGATGATACGATACCCTACATGAGGCCTCGCTATCAAAATGCAATCGCGCGTAACATAATACACACACTAACACACGAGCACACAGATCTACGACGTCGAACCAAACAAAATGCACCGTACAGCAGCACATTTAGCCAACGCAGACATGCACCCTCACAACAACAACAACAATAAAAATCGTCGAACTGAGGGACCGGTTACTTCTGAGTCCACGACGCGGTCATTGCCGCAGCTTCATCCGAGCGGCACCAAACGCGCTGGCGCTGTGACCGATGCGGCACAGCGCTCACGGGGTCCGTACTGCCGCACAGACGCTGCTGCAACGCGCGGCTCCGTGCCAGCTAACCGAAGGTGGCCACGTGCCAAGGGAGCCCTCGCCACACATCGGTGGTCGGTAAAAGGCGTCCAATGACGAGCAACCCCGGTTTGAAATATATATAAAAAAAAAAGCTTACTGCTTTTTGCGTAATATGTAGGCGGTGACATCGCAGCAAAACTGTACAGATGACAAGTCGTTTTGATTTAAGTTTTTTCTTTATCAAGCTATCTTTTATTCGCATTTTTTTGTCCGCATTTTGCGAACGTGAGTGAGTTATTGGGAGAACGTAGCACCATGCGTAACTTTTACCGCATGTTGATGCGCGTCAAATGCATGCGGCATGCTCATAAAATGTTATTGGAATATAAATTAGTTGCATTCCATTAAACTTGATTCATGCTCTTGTTTTCTTAATATGCACTTGTACCAGCAGAAACATTACGCACACAAACATTTAACACAATAATGCACTCTCCCGGTTGATCACGTGACAATTTTATGAATTGTCTGTGTCGGCTGGAGGAAGGTTCACGACGCAACATTTTACTTACGTGAGCCTACCCAAAAATACATTATGAATCACACATTTACATAGTGATCATTTATAGATTCATTATTTCTTTCATAAGTGGAAAATGTAAGTGGCAGGTTGTGGATTATGCACATGAACCATGTCCATGAAAATAAAGCAATGAACAATAAAAAATATATACTGTGAACCCTAAACAGACAGACATCATCAAATTAGCACTTCAGTGAACGCCCAGCACTTACTACCCATACAATGATGCCTCTGGGAAGAAATACGCGTGCACCCGACTGAACCCAGCTCCGTAAACCTCTGTGTCACTATTAGTAACATTCCGCCCACCACAACAAGACGCTTCCGCCCACCACAACAAGTTATTAAAACCATACGCTATCTCAATTAAGGTTTCCACTGCATATGCGTGTGGTGTGTAATGGGCAAACCTCTTATTTGGGAATGTTTATATCTGTGGATGACTGTGGGGGTCAGGCTACTGAGTTGGTCTCGCTGAGGAACCTTGGTTAGAAACCAGGTTGCTGCCACCCGCGATTAAATCTGCTTCTCAAGTGCAGCAACTTTCAGTTACCTGCAACAAATGACTGTACGAACAGACCATATCATGCTGGACTGGGGTTTATCACGTAATGTGTATTATTCCAGCTCTGATATTAAACATTACTGTTGTGATGATATGATGCTGAAAATACAGGAAGAAAATAATTCATGAAAGGTATACTTTAGGGGGATACAAAAACCCCATGGACCACATCCCACGATTATCAGTTCTTACAAGCTAAGCAGGTTTGAGCCTGGAGAGTGATTGGATGGGTGACCACCATGCCTATCAGGTGTTACATGTTTCTGCAGGGCTACGTTGTGGGCAGCAGAGGGCAGTACAGTAAAACCTATTGTTGGACTGTACTTTGCAGTTGTACGTTCCCACATCAATGCCAAAAGACTTCACCAAGCCGCTCCGACCAGCATGGTGAAGTATGGTCCAATAACAGCGGCAACCAGAATGGCATGGGGAGGCCTTCGTCCAGCAATTGATCGACAAAAGGACCGGGCACGTACACCGTGAGCGATACACTTGAAATGTAATGGGCGAGTCGAAGCTCAGCTCGTTTCCTGGTGCCACCGGGCCGGCTCCCGGTAGGGCTGGGCAGCGAGGAGTGGGATCAGGATGTACGCACGTACGTTGCACTTTTTCGCACCTCACGTAGCCAACCGTGCTATTCGGAGGTGCGGATGCCGTGGTCGGGAGGTTCGGGGTGCAGATTTCCTCATCCAGCAGTGGATTTAACAAAGTTGGGCGTAGGTGTGCGTGTGCAATCATACCCACCGCTCGGCAGACAGGGCCTGCACCTTCTCCCACGTGCCCCGCAGCTCTCCCAGCATGCTCTGCAGTTGGCCGTGGTTTGACATCAGGGCCGCGGCCTCGACCGCCAACTCTCCGAGATCCACGCACGCCTTGTAGGCCTCTTCATGAGCGCGCAGGTCTCCCTGAAGCTCCTGGGGGGGTCCATCAACAGTGCAGCAAAGATCACCAACACGGTCTTCCACACACTCTTCAAAATCCAGCACGCTCCGCCAAATCGATCTCTTGTTCACGTTCCCAATCATGCCATGCGGCTCAAACGTGACATGTGGGTGAGCAAGACCCACGGAGGTCTATTTCGCAAGCATCATTGGATAGATGCGGCCTGCGACACCGCCTCCCAAGCAAGTGTTCGGCGGCGGAGCAGCCACAAGCAGTGGAGTGTCCTCCTCGTGAATGCTTCCCTGGGGGGTTAATGACGACATTGCAGATAAGAGCAACGGATATAAGAATAGGTTTTACCCCTTCTGGCAATAAAACAGGTGTTAAGATGTTAAAACACCAAACAGAAACCTTTCGCAAGGAATCCTGCGAGCATTAACCAACATTCTTATATTTTGATACTGGCAAGAAAGGTCCCATATTTTAAGAGCAACGGAGTTCACGGATAAGAGCAGCTCTGCCACACTACAAGGTTACCCACTCCCTATACCCACTCCCTATACCAGCTCCCTATACCAGCTCCCTATACCCACTCCCTATATCAGCTCCCTATACCCACTCCCTATACAAGCTCCCTATACCCACTCCCTATACCCACTCCCTATACCCACTCCCTATACCCACTCCCTATGCAAGCTCCCTATACCCGCTCCCTATACCAGCTCCCTATGCCAGCTCCCTATGCCAGCTCCCTATACCAGCTCCCTATACCAGCTCCCTATACCAGCTCCCTATACCAGCATCCCTTTACCAGCTCCCTATGCTCAGTGATACGAGCGCTGGACTGAGATGGTCTTGTTACCTTGAGCTTGAGGAGCCGTTCCGTAAGTGTATCGATGCCATCGTCACAGCCCGGCTCTTGGCTCAGGGCGTCTGAGATCTCCAGCAACCATGTGTGCATGGCTTTCCAGCTGTCCAGAAACTGCCCACGAGGTCGTAACAAAAGCAGAGGGCATAACGATCTCAAGAGTCATGCGTGTTGTCGATAACGTTCAATGAACTGAAGTGCACCTCAAATGCTAGCGTACAAGTGTGTAGTCAAGTAATCAAACGTTAGGTTTCAAGAGGTAACTAAGATCAGGCTGGGCGCTTTTGGAAAACTCAATTTGATAATGGAAAGCCACAGAGCAATGTGCCTTAAGAAGAGAGTTTTCAATCAGTGGCGTATTACACACTGGAACATACGGATCAGAAACAGAGACGTTGACAAAGCACGCAAACATAAGCAAAAAGGTGTTTAAAGAGCTTTAAACGAATATAAGTTACGAATTACACTGAGGAAAGAGCAGAGGTAAAAAAAACGTGGATTAGAGAATAAATGCCAATGAGAGACATCGTTTTGTCTATGGGAGGAAGTAAGTGGGCTTGGCCCGGACACATGGCTGGAAGGGATGATGACCGACGGATGACAACTGGTGATTGAACGGACGAAGCCGAGACGACGATCACGGTGGAGGTGGAACAACGAGATTGGTTCATGCGCAGGAGCGAGAGTGAATGTAGCATCCTCCGCACTCGGCAGCCTTCGTGGTAAGCCACTTCGTTCAGCTGTCATTTGTGGCCAGGTCGCTTCTAAAAAAAGAAGCCGATAGCTCAGTGGACTTCACCTGGTAAAATAAAAAGTGGAATTTGATTTGTAATTGCTTTCTTTGTGATTTGGTTACCTTTCCTATACTGTGCACGCCTATCGTGTTTTCGTATTGTTTGTTGTTGACCTACCCCTACTGGACATCTGTAAAAAAATAGTTTCATAACTTATTGGATTCCTCCAGTATAAATATTCTGAATCTGATGGCGATGTGGAAATGTGGAGCAGCCTTCATTCAGCATTGGATAGCCAACGGCTGATAATGATAATAATGATGGTGATATTAATTTAGAAAAGCCTCATTGAGTCTCAAGGCAAATTGTCAGGAGGGTAATGTTAGAGATATTTGACCAATTCTGTTTTTTAGTACAATTGGTGGAAACAGTGCCTGAGAAGCCTACGAAGTAGAAAACACTCAAGACATCGCACAGGCATCTCACAAACCATGCAAAACATATGCGCTTATAAACGCAGACAGTAGGAGCATATAACCCATAACCTAAATAAATATCACGGTTACCTGCTGCTCCTGAGAGCTAGGGTCGCCCTCCTTGGCTTTACTTGTGTCTTCGGGCTCATCGTCTTCAAGCTGTTGGTCTAACGCCGTGGCAAGGCCCACGTGCTCGCGACTGAAAACCGAAGGAGATTCGAGTTCGCAGCCTTGCGTCTCGTCTTCATCGTCGTCTCCGTCTGCGCTGCGGTGGCTGTCGCGCTCCGCGTGAAGCGCTTCCGAGCCGTCCAGCGACCCCAGCGAGAAGGTCGCGTCCCGTGCCGGATCCTCTTCGGCCCCACGAGCTATCTGCGCGTCGTCCGAGTCTTCGTTCAGGCAAATAGCTGAATCTACGGCAGGGGGGATGTGAATTTTTTTTGTTTGTTCAACGCAATCATCAAGAAAGTCACCAGGGGCTGTGTTCGAGAAGGTGCCGAAGGTGCACGAAGAACATGTTTCACCAACGAGCAATTTCAACTACCTGGTTATTTGATACCCTGCTCTGCAGAGGTCTGACTGAAATAGTGCGTGTCTATGAAGGTATCAGCCATATTTAGAGCAGAAAAATTCGACGGAAGTTGGAACAGCACAGTTGAATGTTGAGCTAATCTGACCCATACAGTGTCTTCTTTGGTGATGCTGAGTTGGCAGCGGTGCACAAGCACCAATAACAACAAAAAACGACACATTCGTTAATACCACTGCATGCAACAATGCGGGAAACAATGCTCATGTGCTATGAAGGGCCATTGCCCGAAACGTTGCTTATTGTATACTTTTCAAGGCAGTGTTGTTGATGCATGTGTAGAGGGTGGTTTTTTTACAAAGTGTACTCCAAAAAAACTAACAGCTTCAGAGATGTTTTATTTAAAGCTTTCGTGACTGCAGGGATTCATATTCTTGGTTCTTTCGGTAAAGTCACGTAGAAGGGAAACAATAAAATTATAAAAATTTAAAACAATAAAATTATCACGACGTTTCGACTGCAACACAAGCAATAATCATCATCAGGTGTGAAAACCACAGCAAGAAAATTTGAAAAAAGTGGCGTTTTTTTTTACATTAGCACCACGGAGAGCGATATGATACCTTTGACCAAAATGCCACGGTGAATATGTGGACGTCAAGAGGCATGAATTTCACACGATAATTTTTGTTACACCGCCAAGTGTGTGCACAGTTGTATCGACCTATATAAGAATTGACTAATTATAATTCTTGTGATTCCTTTACGGGCACCCAGTACTAATGGTAGCTTAGATGTTTGTGTATGACATAGCAGTGTGTGTCAATGGCAAAGTTGCGAAGGCACCATCAGCCTGTGAAATGCTACGTCCTGTCACAAGTTACGATAAATGGCTTCAATACAAGTTGTCCTCATAAATTGCTAAATAAATATGGAATGGTAAAATAATATATTTGTTCGAGTTGTATTAATTCAGTAATCAGTTACATTTTCTGGTAATAAAGATTAACTACTGCATTTTATGCAATTAAAGCCTCAATTAATTGTTAATAAAAAATAACGTTTTTTATCATTAACGCTTACACCTTGCATCACCATCATCATATTTGAAAGCGACAACCACAAATGTCGACACGGTCACAGTTGGCGCGATAAAGATGTTAGCTAGTCAGCAGATCCTTTGTGAAATATCACTAATGAAAGGTTCATCAAACGCATTTAGCCAAGTGAAAACCATACCGGTTGCGTCTTGCTCCGGCAGTGCATTCTGCGTTGATGATGGACTCTCATCACTGAAGGCCTGCAGACACTAAAATGAAAAAAAATACCTGACGTAAATTCTTCTTTAGAATACAGAACAACAAAGCCTTTCAATGCTTCTCTTAAACACGTTCGTGTCGTATGCTACCCTATTACAACACAGGGTGCAATGGTGGCACAGTGGCTAGTGCTCCGCACTCCGAACCAGCCACCCCAGTTTTGCTTCAGGACACAGGAAACGTTGTTGGCAAGCAATATCTGAACTTGACTATGATGGGCCTCCCTCTCGGCAATCTGCACTGACCAACGCGGTGAGGTACAGTCAACTGATCTGTATGGCCAACACAGGTATATGGGGAGGCCTTCATCCAGCAGTGGACCGACAGATGGCTGTAAATAAAAAATATTACAATGTAAGCGAATCCTCGCTGTAATATTCACGCTTTCCGCGATCTCCCTGTTTCTGACATATCGTTTTAAGACTCACTAAAGAGTTCCAATCAATAACATTCACATTCTTCCCTGATTTTACACTTCCCCACATGGAAACATTTAATTCGTCCGATTCCCCCGTAAGGTGCACAAACATTGAGGTGTCGCTGAATAAAACCAACATGAATTTACGTTGCGAAAATGCTTTTATCGAGTGGGATAACTCACGGTAGGGGGGGGGGGAGGTGGCATCATTGGGGGTGGGAGAGGAGTTATGGAAGAAGTATTCAAAGGTGGAGGAGGAGATAAGAAGAGGAGATTTTTGCACTTAAAGAGGATGAGTGGCTAACCAGTGGAAGGCATTTTCAGAACGGTAAATGCAAGCAGTGTGGCAAGCAGCAGTGGATTTTGGCCAGCGTTAATTTTGTTAACGAAATCGGTGTTGTAAATATTTGTGTGTTTTTTTTAAATATATCGGTCAACGTTGACTGTGCATGTAAAAAAAGTTGCAATCATTCGCACGGTTGGCTACGTACGGTGCAAAAGAAGTTCAACATCGATACTGTACGTGACTACGACCACCTACCAAAGAACAGAGCATGAGATTACTATGATGCAACAAGATTAACGAGTGCCTGAATGACGACGCAGACTTGAGATCATTTAGTAAACGCTATTAGAGACTGCAGTGAGCCATGCTTGTGTGAAAGGATTTACCGAGTTCGCTTCTTGGCCGACTTGATATGGGAGGTGGGAGAGTGCTAAATGCACACCAACATACGCGAAGTAAAAGCGGAATACATTTTTCATCACTTTCGTCGACAAGATTAAGAGGCTGACGGAATGAAATCCACTGAGACTTGACTAAAATCTCACCAACTAGACGAAGACTATGACGAAAATATATTTTTAAAAACGCTGCCGTAAATGAACACAAGCTTTTTAGCGATGGCTCCCTCTCACCTGTGGAGCCTGGCTCCCTGCTGACACCTGTGTGCAGGTGTCCGCCGTTTCCTCTCCACCCCAATCCTCGCCGCGGTCGCTGGACACGAACTCCCCTCCAATCCCGGTGCACTTTCCCGTCGTCTCCTGCAAGCACGCCGGACTCGGTCAATTCACCGTCGGAACTCAATGGGCGACGAGCAAAAGAACGTCAACAGTTGGATTTTAACACCATTGCCGTGAAAACCTGCGTCACCATGCTCGATCAGGCAGCAATCTCCAGTTGGTATTAAAATCAGTGATAATTTTTAACCGAATGCTTGCCAGTTAAATGAACACCTACGTCAATTTACAGAACACGTAAACGTGAAGACCATTTGGTTAAACAGACATTCGTTGTTGCTGCTCATAAGCTCACGCAGGTTTCTCTGCACGGAGTAAACATCCGCTGATTTGAAGAGCCCCGTGATCTTCCAAAAACGTGTAAACAGAACAGAGTTTCACCCAGACGGCCTTTAGGCCGCAGAAACACCGCACACAACAAAAGTCCCGGCACCTTAACACCAGCAGTTAAAACAATCAGAGCAGCAGTAGCAGAAGGTAAGTTCACCCATAGCGTATGAAATATTTAATCTTACCGTCCACAACGATGTTCCTAGTACATGAGCACAAATCGTGAAAACGCTCAATGCCACAGAGGAGTCCTTCACGAGGCAAGCACTCCGTGGTAATATCTCATCAACAGTTGCAGAACCCGACACCGAAATGAAGTAAAGCGTGCCGTCCCCAGAGGAAGATAAAAGCTCATAGAACCTCGAAAGAGACCAAGGATTCCGTGCGTTTGAGAAGTGTTTATTGAGCAGCCAACCGCATTTCCATCACCCATTTACCATGAGTGTCAAAAAATATATATGTGCAGATAGTAACTGCTTTCTGAAGCACTTTGGTTTCAAGTGATACACTGAACTGCCGTAAAAAATATTAACCTTATAACTAAAATGTGCCAATTATCAGACTTAATGCATTGATATGATGCGATGCTCATTATCAGAGTCTAACTCAGATAAATGTTGCACCGATTTGCAGTTAGCTTTATGTCGTGTATCATGTTTATTTTTTATTTTTACGCAGGCAACTAAGTAAACAGAGCTTAGTTGTCTGAAAGTCAGCCCTTCTGCACATTTCCACGAACACTTGTCCGTTTGACACGAGCGGAAGTCCCATCACCTAAAGCAGGATGACCCACCACCAACAACATGGGGAGACCTGTCGCGATTTCTCTCGTCTTGGGCTTGCGTGACTTCGTCAAAATCCAGAGTGGCCCAGGAGCCGAACTGCCGAAGGATTCCACGAACTTGAACGTTGCATTTGTGTTTCAGCGGCCGTGAAACCTCGTGGCGTTTCATTGTCTCTCACCCTTGCCTGAAGGGCATCATCGGCTTGGACGATTCTGGGTCTTGAAGTTGTCACCACAGGGTATTTAATCTGTGCATTTACACCACGTGGGGTGGGGGGGGTCTGCACAGTTTTTGCTGGGGTTTTCTTGGAAATTGAAAATTAATGCCATGGAGATTGGTTCGTGGCATTTGAGGTAAATCTGAATCACATTCTCCTCCAGTTTCAGTTATATATAATCGTTACACAGTAATGCCCCATAATCATACCATCGTTTACAGAACTGGAATCGTGCTAACAATATCTACAAAAATAATGACATGCCCGAATGTATATTTCCACCACATTGAATTGAAGTAAAAAAAAGCAAAGCAAAGCGAAGCTCCTCTGTAACTGACGTCGTCAACTATATCTAACAATCCAGGCGGCTGGCATGAATTATGAGAGACGGGCGAGACATCCGACATTCTAGAGTTCAATCTTCAGACATCAGCGTTTTCTCCTATGTACACTTTTGTAGTTCTTAAGCGTTTTTGGACGCACACGCGCACACACTCAACGTGCGCACACACGTAACCGGCTCAACGTCCGGCCGTGCATGCGCTTGCCGTGCCCGCTTCAGAACGGGTGCGGGGTGGACAGCGACCACCGTCCGCCGTTGATGCTGGCCGTGCTGTAGCCCGAGGAGGAGTGACTCGTGCCGGACGCGTCAAAGCTCCCCCTGCGCGAGCTGGCCCTCGAGCCCGAGGTGGGACTCACATCTCCGACGCTGTAGGAGCTCGGGAAGCCTTTTGTGGAAGAGGTGGAGGCCTCGAGCAGCCTCAGCCCTGTCAGGGGGTCCACGACGGAGGAGTCGAGCGCCTCCTTGTAGGATATCCTCAGCTTGGTCTTGGGGCAGGTCAGGCACTTGGAGTAGTTGTTGACGTCACGGAGCTTCTGCACGGTGCGCGCATCCACGGTGCCGTTTTTCAGGGCCTCTTCCATCGTCACCCTCCCCGAGGTGTCGGGCTCGATGAGGCCCCCGGTGAGGTACTGCGCCTCCAGGAAGCGCTGTCCCGTCTCGTAGTAGAGCCAGCCCTTCCTCATGGCCTGCGCTGTCGACATCCTCTTGCCCGTTTTAGGGTCTTCGAATCCGGTGTGAGCCTTCTGCGCCAGTGCGATCCTCTCTGCCATTTGCCTGTCAATTATGCCGCGGTTGGCCGCATCCTGAATGAGCATTTTCTGCCCAGTGAACGGGCTAATTATGCCGCCGGTGCACGCCTGGCCTTCGTACAGCCTTTGCGCCGTGATGACATCGACCAGGTTTCTGCCAATAGCCTCCCTGATGGTGATCTTTTCCAAACTGTGGAGGTCAAATATTCCAGCGATGAGAGATTTTTCCTCTGTGGGGTCACTGATGGGACTGTTCGGGAGCAACGGCATGGGGCTCCTCTTTGGGCTGAGCGGGGCCGAATCCGAACTTGTCGACGAGCAGCGGGAACGATAACCACTTCCAGTCAGCATGTCGGCAAAATCGGCGATGGATATCTTACCCGCCTGGTAGAGATTAAAGTTGGCCCGGTCGATGAAGCCCCTGGCAAGAGCCTCGTTGATGTTGTACTTCAGCCCCGATTTGGTGTCCTGCAAAACGGAGACGGTCGTCCCATCTGGCATCGTCGTCGTAACGTCTTCCCATTCGCACTCCTGTTCCGAGAGCTCTATGTAGGACTTCAAGTCGATAAGGTCCTTGCAGTAGGCCTCGTACAGGGTCATTTCCGTCCCGATGTCAGGGTCGACGATGACAATTCTCCGCTTCCGGATGGAGGACGTGCTCGACAGCTTCCTGTCGCGCACTTTCGCCTTGATGGGCAGGAGGCGCAGGCCAGTGTGAGACTCAGTCATGCAGCGCTGCATGAGCTCCTGGTACGTGACGCTCTCTTCCGTGTTCGGGTCAAAAAATCCTTTGACAACGCGGCCGCTCTCTGACAAAGCCCTCTTCGTCTCCTCGTCCACGAGGCCCAGCGGGACGGCATCCTCGAGAGGGATTCGCAACCCGAGTTGCGAGTTTACGATCCCACCAGTGGCCACCTGCACTTCCAGGAGACGTAGTCCCTGGTGTTTCGTCACCAGCCCCCTCTGTATCGCTGCAAACAACGACACCGGGTTCCCAGATGCCACCTTCTCGGTCGACAGAAGCTTTTCCCTAAACTCGGCACCAATGAGGCCCTTTTGTATGGCAGCGTCCATGGTCAGCTTGCAGGCCGTGGCAGGGTCAATAATGTAGCCAGTGGCTACCTGTGCCTCCAGAAGCTCAAAGGCCGTGTCAGCTCTAATAAGTCCCCTTTTCATGGCGTCATAGAAACACACTTTCTCTTTGGTGTTTTCCAACAAAATGCCAGCAATGCTGTTCTTCGTCAGGCTGTATTTCTCAATCATTTTGCTCACTTCATCAGCCGATCGTTTTCCCTCTTCCACCTCCTTGGCGACGCTCGGATGCAACACCTTGGAGTCTACGAGCTCCTGCAGGGAAATGTCACCAACGGGGCCCCTGAAGGTGACGGTCTTCACGACTTCCTGACTGTCTGCGCCATCCTGGATGGCCTGAGCGATCGCCAAGATGAGCGTTTCGATGATGATCTTGCCGGAACGGTACTCGGACAGCAGCTTTCTCCGCTGTTCCTCCGATAAAATATTGGACTGCACGAGCTCCCAGGCGGTCACGTCCTTGCCCGCGAATTGGCCCGAGGGAATGTTAGCGGTCGAATTTAAGAGCGACTGCTTGAGTCCTTCTTCGGTGGACAGGTCGGGCGACTTGTCGCACGAGGATAAGGTCGTGATCGTGATTTTCGTCTCTTTCTTACAAATGCTCCTGGGCTCGTAGAGCCTCTCCAGCGCCGCACCCGACTGCTCGCCGAAAGACTCCTCCACCTGCTTTTGCAGTTGCTTGTTCTTCTCCAGCTGATGCATTTTTTGTTGCGATTCGTTCTCCGCCATTGACCTCACCCGGGAGATTTCCTCCTCGTAGATCTTGGCCAGCCTTGCCTTCTCTTCGTCGATCATCGTCTGCTTGAGGAGGAGAGACTCCTTCTCCGTCTGGTGCCTCAGGTTCTCCTCCTTGATTTTCTTCTGCAATGTCTCAATCTCGTGCGTGATCTTTGTGCCTGCAACCTGATCTCTCTGAGGAAAGAAACAAGTGTTAATCATTTTTTCTGTGCAAATAGGTGGCATATACAGACACACACACATATACTGTTTGGATCATACCAGATTTTACTTATGGGTTTTGAGAGTATTTATTTATTCCACAAAGTACTAAATATTTGAGCAAAGAAGCCATTCAACCATCTCGGCAATACTTTTGGATAAACGCCGACCTTTCGAAACGTATTTAACTATACAGTTAGGTGAGTATCCTTAACTTCGACGAGGTATAAGGGCTCATTGACTATTCACATCTTGTTTTCCAGACAGACCTGGATTTCCCCCCACCACCCCCCCACAAGGTCTCCACGAGGTTGGGGCAACGGGCCCCCCCCCCGCCCCCAAGTTTAGCCCTGAAGGGCCGACTGACCACCCCCTCCCCCACCACCCCCGTGGTTTTTCCTGTTCCCCTCCAACGACCTCCGGCGTGTTGTACTGGACTCGTGTTCTTGTCACAAAAACAAAAAGGGAGACCTGGATAATGAATAAAGTACTCACCAGCACAAAGTTTCCTCACAAAGAACACTATTAATTGTATCAAATTACATGATTTACATTATACGGCATCATTA